AAGTAATTCAAAACGACATTATAAAATTAGAACTTTCGGCCAATTAGATAAGACAATGTGCCTGTCCACTTCAATCTGAATTAATTTCCCTTCCTCTATAGTCGAGAGTAGTTTTAGACAATTGCTTGCATAAAACATGTTTAATGCACAAGCCATGCCTTGCAAGTTATTCCATCCAATTTATTATATAGGGCAATAATTGTCAAAATTGCAATATGTAGTGGTAAATTATATCACATTTTAAAGGAAAATTTCATTCTCATCTATTATTCTTGTAAGTAATAGCTTTATTCATTAGGCCAAAAACATTCTGTCAGCTGATGACTTGCCTTTTCCTTTTGCTTCATTTTTTTATATTTTTCACATCACAACCAAAATATCTCATAATTTCTTATATATTTTTTTTATTATCTCTATTTTAAAGTGCCTTGCCCCTTACGTGCACTCGTGTCATGACCTTTGATGTCGATGCGTTTCGTTACTGCACGTGGTCGTCCATTTGGATGTCACAAGATTCTCAATTTAGAACTAGAGCCGTAACATACACATTGATCACTCACTCTAGTATATTGCCTTGGATCTGTAATTTTTTTTTTATAAAAAAAGATGGATTCAACACTATTGCTTTAAAATATACTAGAAGCATAGCATATATTATGTATGCGATTACGTTATTTTTAAGGAGCTTGTAGCTCAAGTAGTTATTTCTACACTTAAAATTCTGTGTTTGAATCTCTCTTCTTATTATTAGTCGACACTTTTACTTTTATTATTAATCATAAAAGGACCATAATTGGTATTTTATGCATTTTGGTTGACAAATTATTCACAAATTATTACATTCTAGAGGCAGAAGAGGCAACCAAACCAAATATGGGTAAGCACGAGACACAAAAGAGAATATATGACAACATCCATTTGGATGATGATCATCCTCTAAAGCAAGTTTCCACATCACACATACTTTATAAGCTGCCGATCAAAGCCCTCAGTATCATATTCTAGAATAACTCTGGCCATTAGATAATCATGAGGATATTTTCGGTATTTAGAGTTATAAGTAAAAATAAGATTTTAAAAATTGTTATTGTGTGTGAAGTTTGTAAAGATTTTGTCTTCAAGCCAGTTTGGCATTGTTGTGCTATGAAAATAATGGCTGTCAGATTTGTTGTGAGAGAAATTAGCTGTGAAATAAAGCAGTTTGGTGTTTGGTAAAATTTTTGTTAAAAGTGTTGGTATTGATTTTACGCATAATTAGAAAATGATTGCCGCATAATCATTAAACCCAGAGCCTCTTCGAAACTGATTCCTGCATAATGAAAAAATGAAAGCACTTCATTAGCTGCTTTCTCTTATAGCTTTCTCTCACATCAATTTTTAACAATAAGTGATTTTCTCACAGTTTACCAAACGGGTTGGGCTTCTCAAATTTTTTAAAAAATCACTTATCACCCCAAATAAGTAATGCCAAACTAGCACTTCTTGCTAGCAAGTGATTAATTTTTTTTATATTTAGTTTGGTAAGTGATTAAGAAACTATAAGCTCTCTTAGTTTTTGGCAAGTGAGTCAGCAAGCAGGCATGATCATTTTTAGTAGGAATTTTTTTTAAGTACAAACGATAGTCTAAATTATAACGGGTAGAGGATGTTTCCTCATACATATTCTCTACCAAGGTGTCATATATAGGTTCGAACTTCAGCCGCTAATTTGCAAATCAATACTTTTTTCCCACTGAATTAAACTTTATTGGCAGCTTAGTAAGAACTTAAAGAGTTACTTCAATAAAACCCCTCTTATCTTATTTTGGTAGATTTTAAAAGTCACATCAAGAAACAAAAGTACGAAATTGTCCTTTGATCAGAATCCTCAAAATGAAAACACCAAATCACCGTTGGATTAAGATTTGACCAAAAAATCACCCTTGGATTAAGATGCTCCGTTGGTATATAATGTCCAAACCAATGTACTCCACATATATATTATTTTATTCATGTTTATACCATTTACTTTAATTTTGTTTCCATCTTTTCTGGACATTCATGATTCATGCTTTTTTATTTTGTTTTTGGTATGATTCAAGCTGTAAATCAAGACCTTAATATCATATTCAAGACAACTTTTCGCCACATACGCTAAATTGATTAATCATGAGAGCGCTTTTGGAATTTAAGAAATTAAGACTGAAAATAAGATTATGGAAACTCTTAAAACAGCTTTGGAATTCTAAAATAGCTATATTCTCTCAAAACGACAGGTGCCACTGGAGACCTCTTGCTTTTTTTTTGTTTTTTTTTGTTTTTTGTTTGCACACATGAAATAGAATCTACTATCCATATTATGCGGGAATGCCTTTTTGCTCGTGGTGTTTGGACTGGCTCCATTTTGGGTGGTTCTGGAGCGTAATCTCGGGATCAGGGAGTACATGACTGGTTTTTATGATGTGCGGAGAATCTTCCTCATGTTGTCTTCGAACTCTTTCTATCTACTGGTTGGGCAATTTGGGAGGCAAGAAATGACAAGCTATGGAACAACAAGAACCCGTCCTCGGACAAAATTAACCATGGCGTTGTTGTTCGACTGTTTGACTTTGCACGAGTCCATGCCAAACATGGTGGTCCTGCTCGCACACTCATGGAGGCCCATAAGTGGACTAAACCGAAGCCGGGGTGTTCAAAGATCAATGTTTCTCTTGGGCAGCAGGCAGCACCAAGGGTGGAGTGGGCAGTGTTGTACGTGACTTTGAAGGTGACTTTGTTACAGGAAGGGCATTACATGTAGACAACATATATTACACAAGTTTGAGCAATAGTTGCCAGAGATGGTGCAGTGTTAGTGGTTGAAAGGGGTTTTACTAATTTTATGTTTTTTAGAGCGATTCTCTCCGGATCATCTTTGGTTTGAGGACTACTACTACTGATCGGTATTTTATCTGTTCTATAGTGGAAGACACCAAGATTATGTTGCCACATATCACTAGAGAAGGTTTTACCCATATTTGTTGTATTGCAAACATCGTGGTTGATCGGTTCGCATGCTTTGGTCGGAATATTGGCACAGTCATCTCTTGGTTCGAGGAACCACAAGATTTTGTTGTTAGGATTGTATCTAGGATTTTTTTCAGGCAAGGCTCTTGCTCCCACTTGCGGTTGAGCGGGTACGGTTACTTTGTTAGCCCAACATCTGAGCCCATTGATGTAGAGACACTCGCCTAATCCTTGAAGACATAACCTGGTTTTTGTACTTGTTACTTTCCATATTCAATAAATATTATTGCCTTTTCTAAAAAAAAATAACAACAAAAAAAAAAAAGGTGAGCCACATAAAAAAAAACTCTCTCCAACAACCTCTTTAACCTCATCAAAGCTGCAACCTCATCTCTCTCTTAGTAAGTTGATTTAGTAAGTTTGACTTTAACTTTTCAAATATTTAATTTGGAAAAAAAAAAAAAAAAAAAAAAAAAAAAAAAAAAAAAAAAACTACCTGAAAATGTTAAAAAACAAATGCTTCTTTTTTTTTCAATTGTGTGTGTGTGAAGTAGCTAAAATTTTGGTTTGTAGCAACAATAAACCAAGATTATTATTTGGTAAGTAGGTAAATCAGTGGAGAAATTAAAGAATGGTACGGTAATACCACGTCAGCGTATAATACTCCCATTCAAATACAACCACGTGTCTATTTTAGAAAAGAAATTAATTATCTTTTCAGAGCTGAATTTTTTAGTTTAATTCTTCACTTTTGAAATAACATTAGAAAAAAAAGAGAGTAAAATTTCCTAACAATCACCTCTTTCCCAACCCAACAACCCTAATCCCAACTACCTTCTATGATGGCCACCCCTCTCCCTTCCAATATCTTCACCCCTTATACTAATTGTAGACAGCGGGTTTAGAGGGAGGAGGATTAAACTGGTATTGATGATGATGAAATGGAGTAGTGTCTTGATAATTGAAAATGGGTTCGTTCTTGAGGGTCTAGATCCTGGTCTGAAAATATTCCAAGGTGTATGTGGGTTGAAGCTGGTGGTGGAATTAAAATTTTCTAATTTTATTTCAAAAATTAAGAATTAATAAAGTAAAAAGTCCAGTTGTAAAATAATAATTAATTTTTTTATATAAAATTTACACGTGACTGTATTTGAGTAGGAATACTATACGCTGACGTGATATTACCGTATCATTCTATAATTTCTCAAACTAGTGAGCATGAGTATTTTTGGTAAAAAGTGGGTAAATGAGTGAGCATGAGTATTTTTAGTAAAAAGTGGTAAACTAGTGAGCAAGAGTATTTTTGATAAAAAGTGATAAATCAGTGTACAATAGTATTTTTGGTAAAAAGTAGTAAACCAGTGAGCAATAGTATTTTTGCTAAAAAGTGATAAACCAATGTGCAAGAGTATTTTTGCTAAAAAAGTGGTAAATCAGCGAGCAAGAGTATTTTTGGTAAAGATACTACTTGTCTCCTTATCTAAATTATAAAGCGATAATGATCATTTTTGCGAATAACAATTTAACACATATGCAAAAATAATTCATTAAAAATACAAAAAGAAAAGTTTATGTGCACATGTCACACTGCTATTGGTAGGAATGTAAGAGATTTTACTTACATGGTAAAGAATGAAGTAAAAGGAATGCCATTATAAATCTCAAGGTTTAGTAGAAGCTTCCTTATTTTAGTAAAAAATATTGATCTCTCTCTATTTCTTTTGGTAGGTTACAAAACCAAATTGTCCCTTCCTCATCAAAGAACAAAACTACCAAACTGCCCATTGGATCAAAAGCCAGCAGCTATATACATATACCTTGTGCTGTAGCCCCAATATTCAATGAGCTCCACAAATATAAATGTCTTCATGCTTTCACCCTTTCATTTTCACTATTTTTATTTTTTCTGAACATTTGCAGAGGAGCAAAGACAGATAAAAGGACAGATAAAAAGCTAGCATTTGCAGAAGAGCAAGCAAACCCAGTAAACCAGAAACAGTGAAAAACAGAGAAAGATGCGAAGCTATGGATTATCAATCTCAGGAAGCGATTCCTGCTTCTACATCCCCACAACCCACACAGCCATCTCCACCAGAAGACCCATACCCGAACCGAAACCCAACTTCCTCTTCCCAAAACCCGATTTTTCGTTCCGGAGCGGATTTGGGTCGCTCAGACTCGAAGCCAAGGCCGCAATCAACGATGGGTTCATGGTGGCCGACGACAAGGAGCTCACTTTCTACCAGCTTCTGGGCATACCCGAATCCGGATCCGTGACCCAAATCAAGCAGGCGTACAAGCTGCTGGCCCGGAAGTACCACCCGGACGTATCGCCTCCGGACCGGGTCGAGGAGAATACGGAGAAGTTTATTCGGGTTCAGGAGGCTTATGAGACCTTGTCTGATTCGAGAAGGAGAGCTATGTATGATCGAGACATGGCCAGAGGTCTTCACCTTGCTTTCTCTGCAAGGAGATGCCAATATGATGAGGTATTTTGCGCTGTATTTAGATTTTCTGATGACTTTTGTGTTAATTTTCGGAGGACTTATCTGGGTTTTCAGTTTTGTTATTGGAATTGTTACTTCTCTTCTCCAGAGATCGATGCAGGCTTCATTTTCTGGGTGTTTAGTTTTGGTATTGGGGATTTCAGTATTTTATTTCTTTTTCTGTGCTGATTTTCATTTTTGTTCTTCTTTTTCTTTCGGTGCTGCCTGTGTGTTTACTGGTATGTTTTGGGTATGTGATGATTTCTTTTTCATTCTCCTTTTTTGGCTTATTCTATTCTTATTGGAATTGGTATTGTGTAAATGTTTTTTTCCCTTCAACTTTTCTCTGCTGAATTATTGGTTTGCTTTTGTGACATACATGATGAAGGAAGGTGCTTCAAAATTTTTAAATTAAAGAAATAGTTTTATCTTCTTGGATGTTTTGTTATATCTTTGGTACAGTTCTCAACCCTTTGTTGAAGCTCCGGTGCCTAGTTTCCGTTCGGCTTGTGCTTTAGCAGCCTCTTGTTTCCTTCATCATTGTACATTGTTAATCATTCATGGTGTCTCATAATCACTTCTTTTGAGAGTTATCTTTCATTTTCAATTGTCTAAACCTTCCATATATGTGGAATTTCTGAGTTCTGCTAGTATGATTTTCTCATTTGTAGCTTATGGATTAGTGTACTTGGTTATGTCAATCCTTCTTTGAGTTAGGGGCACATTTAGTTTTGCATGTATTTGTGACCTTTATAGTTTTACCCTTAAAATAAAATGGCCAAGAATAGTTTCTTTTAGCTTCTCCTCTGTTTTTATCCTATAGGCAGCTGGGGGGATGATATTCCTAATATAGACTCTCTAATTTATGACATTTGCATTAAATTTTAACTTGGAATTTACAATTTCAGGGAATGGAGGAGAAAGGCGACTGGAAGAATCGATGGCAAAGTCAGCTATCTGGGTTGAAGAGAAGAAGCATGAACAAGAATGCTAGAGAACATATGTCATGGGGAGCTCGAATGCGCCGGCAAAGAGAAGGATCATCCGAAGAACAATAAATAGGTTCTCTGATGTTCTTGTGTATATATACACACCAGTATATCTTCTCTACCTTACCTTCTTAGTCACGGTTGGCATTGACAGAGGAAACTGAAGCCTACCGTTTAGTTACTTCCATATGTACCCTGCTAAGCAAGGAAAGTATTTCGATATGCTAATCAGACGGATGGTTAAATTAGAAACTTGCAAAGTTGCATCCCTGTCCATGACAACACATAATTATAGGCAAGATATATTGTACATAAAATTTTGTTTTTGTTCTTGGAATAAAACATCTGTCTAATAATTGCTTCTGAAATGCAGGGGATTGCTTTTGTGCTAACGTTTTGATGCAAGGAAAGTTCCAGATGTTGGTCTTGAGTTTGAATAGGATATAACATTGCTGTCACTTATAAAACAATTTCTATAAAAATGTCTTTGTTAAAAATTAAACTATAGGCTGCTTGACTCTTGAACAATTTGACTGTGTTTGCTACATTAGTTGGTAAAGTGTTTCTACTTGCAGAGAGAGAAAGTAGGCAACTACTTTTCATTGGAAAATCCGGATATTTATGTAGTTAATTTCAAAGATGGCAACTTGCCAACTTGAGTAACTTTATTTATTAAACCTTCAACTTGGCAACTTGAGAGTAAGACGAGTGACATTATTGGTGAACTTAAAGCTCAGGTGGGTCTAAGCCACCCTCTCCTCTTTATAGCAAGCCAAGCTGGTTTTTCAGAAGAAATTGGGGATTTGTGGGTGAAGTTTGAGAAGGAGGGAGAAGGGGAGAAGGAGGGAGTGGCTGGGTCTTTAGGGATTTGGACCATCATTTTGTTCTACGCTAGTGATGGTTGGTCCCATGGTTCGACGGAAGTTATGGATCATTGCTCCTAAAATTCCCAAGAAGTGAAAACTTCCTAAAATGACTATTTTGCCCATAGTTTGACGGAAAATATAACATATTATGAAGGCAGGACTATAACATATTATGAAGGCAGGACTAACAGTTCTAACGAAAGTGGAGTTGAGGGATTCCAACAATTTTTCGAATTGAATGTCCAAAATGCGAATCGGCACAAGTTCATGGGTTTTAGGGCACAACTTTGGTACATCTAATTTTTGTGGGTTTGGTACATTAGTTCGTAGTCTCAATTTGATCACCGTGTTTGATTATGTAAAGCAATTTTGGTCATAGTGGTAATTAATTAGAAAATTTCAGATTTGCAATTTAGGAAAAATTATCCATTTGTTTTGGAGAGAAATGATGTTGGAAGATTGAAAGGTCGCCTTATAAGCTTTCTAAAACTAATTCCAATTTTAAATTTCGTGTTTATTTGATAGAGAAATTGAGTTTCAAAGATTATTCTTGTCTGAAAATCAAATTCAAGGCTATATACGTGATTATACATGATTTTGAACAATCCTTGAGTAATATTCAGGAGTTTAAGCAAATTTTTGGTTGTGATTTGAAGCCAATTAGAGAAAAATTGAGAAAACAGTGACGAAATTGAGAAAACTAAATCACAATAACGAAAATTAATGATGAATGAAGTAGCATTATCATTCTGACAACAACAACAACAAAAAAAGAAAGAAAAAAAAGGCCAACATAGTGCCAGTCCATGAATTTAAGTCCCATGGCCCTATAAAGTCTGAGGTTTGGGTTTTGAATTGTTCGTTTGTGTATATGATTGTTAGACGCTGGGCTTTTGATCAGCAATGAATTCTTATACAGCCAGCCCCAAATCCAATCAATGAAGTGAAAATGAAAGCCAGCAAATTTTATCCTAGTTGGAAATTGGAATGCCTTCTCAATCTCACCTCAAAAACAAGTGGATGCTGGATAAGACGAGCGACAAGTTCATTATTTAATGGGTATGTCGAAAACCCGATTGATTGTGAGATGGTCTTTTGTCTTCAAGTTGATTTTCCAACCATGTTATCTGTTATTGTTATCTAGTCATCTCGCCACTGACTTATCAATAATAAAATATTTTTTTTCTTTTAATTTTAAATTTTGGGTTTTATTTATGTGTAACTTCAATCTTTTAATGCCTTTCTGAAAAAAAAAGAAAAAAAAAGGAGATTATAGAATACTATTGTAGTATAGTTATGTGATACATTTCGTACACATGTTATAATATAAATGGATAATTGAAATGATTCTCTACAAGGAGAAAAATAAATCATGTCGTTTACCCATATTATAACACGTATACAAGATGTACCATGTGGCCATATTACCATATTATTATGTAATTTCTCCAAAAGAATAATAATAATAAAGCAGGGTTATTTTCAAGATCACTATCACCTTGGTTTTGGGCGTTTATAAATCCAACCATAAGTTGGGCTCTCACCTATCATAATATAGGAGAAATTAAAGACTCTTGCCAGGTGGCTAATTAAGTCTCTTTCAGACATATGCCACCTAGCTATACGTTTCAATTTTGATGATGATCAACCACAATGAATTATGACCTCAGGGGACTTCAACTTCAGTACTGGAAGCTCTCATAATCATGTAATAACACATTCATCTACCAAGCTATCATCACTTGAAACTCCATCTATATATCATAAATATATAGGACGTATGTCTCAAATCAATTAATAAACTGGAAATGATTAAAACACCTAAAAAAGCAGAGGTGTTTAATAAGTGGGTCTCATATAAAATTCTTCATCAAATACCCTAAAGAATGAGAATCGGATCAACTGCCCCCTCCTAGTTGATCCGATTAATGTATTAATGCATCTCTAATCAGATCAGACACCGACAATAAACACCATTTTTCTCTCCTCCAAGCTCTCCTCTCCCTCCATCTCTTTTTCTTTTAAACTCGCTTGTATTCAGGAAGTATATTAGGAAGCAAATGCATGTATTTGTTTCATAAAACAACCCATGCAAAGAAAACCTCAAAACCAAAAGTTAGTCTGCTAATGCTGCCTCCTTCATTTGGATCTCACGAGTCTTCCTTGCAAAACCATAATGATAGTCCATTAATTTCACATTAAATGTTAATTCCATGGGCCAGGGCCATAAAAGATCATTTTTTTTAGTAAGTACCATGAGGTGTTCAAGTCAGCTTGCACGCACCTCAATTAATTTTCACTCGCGGAACTGATCTTGCGATTAGCCACCATATATTGCAACTGTTGGGACTCAAACTGGGGAACAAACTAGCTGAACCCCAGAGCCTTATCCAAATGGCGGACAAACCACAGGGCTACAGAAGATCCTTTGCGTACATGAAATAAGGGCTTAATTAATGTGTTTATTTTATTTTATTTTAATAAATAGAAATGGTAAATAATTGAGGAAGCCGTTGCTTTCATCTTGATTAATCTGGACCCTTTGGTTCCCAAATCATGACTTAAATCAAATATTTCATAGTGGTCCCAATTGTCTTGGACCACAATTAGGAGAGCCCGCAAGTTGACGGTGATCATATGCATATGCATGGCCTAATTAAGTCATGCGCGGTGGTGCAAAACATTCATCAGCAAATTGACTCCTTATTTATTATACCATGACAGCCAATAGCACTTAATTTTGCAGGAAAATTTTATTGTAAAAAAGTTAAAAAAGAAGAAGAAAGAAAGTAAATTTGGCATATCATATCAATAATAATATGCAATACTCCTAAGAATAAGAAACTTGTAACTCAAATGATTAAGAGGATTTGCTTGTAAATTACACAGAAATCTAGCTACCTGTAAATATTGTCCACACATCACATTTAACACACACCAAATTCTAATTACCGCGCACATATGCACTCATTCAAGCTCATTCTCAAGCAACAGATCATTCTTTCTCAACTCAGATTTCAGCCCAAACACTTCTTTCTCAGGCAAAATAATATTCACCACTCTTCCTTCACCTCTACCCTCTCCAAAGTCTTTAGGCCCTGGCAGCAATAAAACAGCTCCTTCATCTCCAACACCTTGTATGTTATACTGCACGTAAACCGGCTTATGCCCTTTCACTTCCAACCCATAGAAATCAGCATCTTCCCAATTCACAAACGTCAAATTGGCTCCATACACAACAAAATCAGCCACTCCATTATCATTCTCCATAGCTTCTTCTATTTGGGATCTCTCGTTCCCGGCTTGCTTGACTAGCAAGGTTGCCAACTTTTTTGGATCCGCATCTGTAATGCTGAAATCTGCCTTGACTGTGCTTATAATCTGACTGTTGCTGCATTCCCCTCTCGTCCTCTCTTTTGGGTCATTTCTGCAAATTGTCACCAATTTTGGCTCTGACCCTTCTCTAACTTTGGCTACACATTGCCAAATTATGGCAGAAATGAGTTCAAAAACTGGAATTTGATCAATTTGGTTTTGACCCAATATCTTGAATTGCAAGTTGTTTAGCTGGGTGGCAGTGATAGGGATTGAAAGTGTTTCCATTTTACAGTTAATGGGAGTTATCCAATTGTCACCAACTGGGTTCACCTGTTTTATGGAGAGTGGGGGTGGTGGGTTTTCAAGTTTCTGGAACTTTGTGTTTGATGTTGCATAGTTTGGTAGCCTATTGGGTTCAAGAGCAGATATAATTTGCCCCAAGCCGTTGATGAAATCAGAAGCTGCAAAGGCATCTCCCAACACGTGGGCCCAGCTAAGACCAAATGATATGCCTCCACATCTGAAATGAGTAACCTGCAGAGAAAGCATAATACACCAAAACAAAAAAGTCTAAGGAATTAATCTAATCAATATTCTGTTGTCAACTCAATGATAAAACCCTGCTTGCTATCAATAGCAACAAGAATAATTCTATATATCATATCATTTCATGTGCTTCACTCAAAACAAGCATATAAAAAGAGTGAGAGACTTTTTTACAACTTCTAACAAATTGCTGCCTCTTTTTTTGGGTTATCAACTTAAGTTTAGGGTTCTTTTTATGTATGTAAAACTTTACCTGGAAGAGAACAAGTGGAGAGAAGAATAGTTCAGGTCCAATGACTTGGTTTGAAGCAAGCAGCTTCTGGTGAGACAAGTCCATCTCTAGCCATTCCTCAATGGTCTTGTCACACTGGGCTTCAAGGAACCTCACCCCACAATCGTTACACTTGAGATAGGGCCGGCCGGATTCGGATCTCCGAAACCGTCCGCATGTCCGGTAGTGTACATTTAGCCAAGTGAATGTAGCTTCTTTCATGCGCACTATGGTTAGCCCTTGGGCTGCTTGGCTACTAAAAAAGTACACTCCTCTAAGGTAGTGGAGCTTCATAGCCAAGTCCATGCCGCTCGGGTCATGAACCACATCCGACCCGGTAATCCGGCCTGGCCCGACTGATGAAAGCTTAATGCCATAGACCAAGTTTTCTTGTCTAGCCAAGACCATGGCCTGAGATATGAGAAAGAGGAAGTGGGTGTCTTAAAATTATTAGTTTGAGTTGGTTTCCTAAAGTTTGTAGGTGACAAGTTGAGGAAGAGCGGCACAGCATGGAGTTTATATATGAAGGTGAGGACTGACTAACTAGTGAGGCTTTTATGAGTATAGGTGAGAAAGTTAATGGATATTTATTGCTCAAGAAATGTCAATTGGTTGGTTCAGAAGAACAGTTGACACCGAAGCTTGCATTAAATTTCACCTGCCCAAGGTTGGGAAAACAAGCTACATTTAGTATTGTTAATGGACTTATTTGAAAATGGAACTTAACCTTGGTAGTGTTTGTGTTAAAAATTCCCATTTTCTTGTAATTTAAACTGTTGTTTTTATTAAAAAAAGTTCTTACTATTACAAGTCCTTCCAACTTGTTATAGAAAAGGAAATTGTTAGGCTTATTACATTTTTATACCATATTGTGTACCATTTCTCTAATAGATGTGAGCCCTATTGTATTGGTGAGTTCCATATCTATTAAAAAAGTGGTACACAATGTGATATAAAAATGTGGTAAGCCTAACATTATTCTATCGAAAATAGGGTCCTTGTCTGATCCAAATTGCAGTCTTGGACGAATGTTCAAAATTGGTCCACACCACACTGTTTTTTTAACTAGCTTTTTAGATAATTAAATAGATATATATATATATTAATTAGTGTAGTGATATTTTCTTTTTAATGTTGTAAAAGATTTCAAGTATGAATCTATTGAGTTAAAAATAAATTCAATTGACAAAATAAATAAAAAATACTCTGTTCTTCTTTCTTTATTTTACGAAATTTAAAATTAAACTGACACACGAAGCCTACCTATTTGAAGTTTTGTTTTTTGTTCCCTATTTTTGAATTAGAGTCACCAAATCCATTTGCTAGACGGGATAAGGTGTTTTTTGCTGATTCTTTGTCGCACTTTCTCAGGATTAGTTTATGCCTGTCTGCACTATCTGAACACGAATTGGTTTTTGTTTGCATTTATATATGCTGGGGTATTTGGTTAATTCCCAGAAATAAATGCGTGATGCAAGGGGAGTGTGAGCAGGCTCCAGTACTTTTGGGACGGATGCAGTGCAAGGAGTGGGCATATGAGCAAATGTCATAATATTTTAATCCATAGCGTTCTACAACAAAGTGTATGTATAGACCAAATGAGCAAATGTCATCATGGTCATTTTAGTTTCTGCATACTTTTGAACTATCAAATACTATCACATAAGTAAGTAGTCACATACATAAAAGATTGAGTATAAATTAAACATTCAGTGGATCGGTACATTGGAAGTGAAATATTCTCCGATTCTATACTTGAAACACCTTATTTCATATGTATTTCAAATAATTTCATAACTTAATTAGAAGAAACTGTCAAGAAACACAATGAAGTAGTAGGGATCATAATGTCACCCTTATTACCTCAAAGCGCTACATTTGACAGAAAAAATTAGAATTGCTTCCACATCGACCGCATATTACCTCAAACAGACACCAAGAAGCATTGCCTATCTATGGACGCCATGAACACCTGTATTTGCTTTGCAACTATATAAAATAAAACATACAGGTATAAACATGATGCAAGAGCCGAATTGTCCTCCCCTGTTCTGTGTAAGTAGGTATCAATTTACCTTTCACAACTGAACCTAATTTTCCATGAAAATCTTAAAATTCTGTTACGCTTTTAAAATGTTCTTGGGCACCACTTGTATGTAATGTAATTTTGTTCTTCTACAAACCCAAGAAAGTCTTTGCCTATTACAAACCAAACAGACTAATCAGTTAAGTATATTATTGCAATGCAGGATCAATTGACAATGTTTGCCTAAAAACAAACTCATTGGTCCTTTTTATCACGGAAAATTGCACGTTAAAATAAAAGCAAACACAAATTACAGATTTTCCCAGAAAGAAGCTTACAATTGACCCTTGGAATATGAGAAATCTTGGGCTACTCGGGCGTCTCTCTTTGTTGAGGTGTTCTACAGTTTCCAATGTGCAGCTAGATACTTCAGATATCCATAACTACAAATACAAATACACAGTTTTTCAATACATGAAAGGTAGGTTCGTCAACTTCTCTGGTTTAATAGAACAGATTTTTCCACCAAAATCTAGCCCAGGACGAAAGGTAGGTTCCTCCCCTTAAAAGTTTTCCAATTTGCCTTTGAAAGTTAGTACATTTCCCCTTGCCCACAAAAAAAGAAGTTAGTACATTTCCCGGCACCTAGGCATATTCAATCCATATCATAACTTCATCTCTCTCATCCACGCCCTTCTCACTCTATCAGCTCGCCTCAAAACCCCAAAAACAAAAAACAAAAATACCACTTTCAATTCTAGAAAAAGTAAAAAACGAACTTAACATTTGTTCATGCAGAAAGTACTTGATTCCAGACCGCAACAGTTGAAAAGTACTAGATTCGGGCCACAGGATTCAAAGCAAGATTTGTTGAGATGGAAACATGAAGGTGTATGGCACGGCGCAGGCATGAGTTTCTACCTGAATCCCAACTCTGCCTATAGGTCAAATATAACACCAAAACAACTTAGCAAAAAATATACAAAATAAGTTCCAACTTTCAACATATCATAGTACAACAAAGCTTGCAACTATCATCTATAAATTGTAACAGAAGATTGTTTTACCTGATTCCTGTGATACTGCAGCTACTCGACGGTCCATTAAGAAAGACTTGGTAAATACTCTAGGAACAGGGGAAGGGGACTCTCTGCTGTTATCGAACAAGAAAAACGACAATGGTTCAACAATTTCAAGATTCACATTAAATCCCACACTACTAATCAAGAAAATCTCCATGATCCCACATTAAATCCAGTATGTTTCAAATTACTTGAAGGTTATATCAATTACAGACAAGAAATGGGTTGACATGCCAAACCAACAAAAGTTATACGCACATCCCAGCATTAGAGAACATGGTATGTCATAACAATATTGGTACTGAAACTGATGCTTAAGATGTTAATATTTGTCACCGGTTATCACAGCATTCAAAGAAACAATGAACTCCACTCCACTTCATTTTTTGTCCTCGGAGATGATGAATATGCTAAAAAATGTAGGTTCAAAATCTGAAAAGTCCTGCATGTTTGCATCAACATATTCATTTCCTTGTTCTGTTTCAATTAAGTTGTTACGATGCAAATAAAATCTGCTCTATATCAATCTCTCTCTAACCACCCCCTCAGGCCCTGAAACAAAAAAAAAACAAAAAAAAAACCGAAAATGCTCAGCCTTATCAACTTCATATAACAGAAATACTGAAATTAACAATGCACAAGAATATTTACCTCTAAACAAGTGGTGATAAAGAATCCACAAATACTGAGAAGCATTGCCTTGCAATACCTGCTCAATGACAAACAACATGCCTAAGAAAATATTTATATGCATAAATAAATACCAATCATGGAGTGATAAATACCTATAATTGTAATTCTAATCAAACATAGTATAGAAATCCCACTAACAGAGTATTTTGAATATATCCTTGATACTTTCCGCAATTCTTTATAAAATCAGCAATTAAAAAACATCTTACGGCTTCCTTTGAAGTCTTTCCCCATAAAAGAGAAGATTATATTGGAAATAAGAGACGAGCCCATTAGAAGACAAGTGGGAGTGGGAGTTTGAAAAGCTTACATTTCTTCACTGTCAAAGTTGGAGCTATTACGAATTCATTGTACGCATAGAGTCAATCTGTCTGCTGTCTGGTCACCAAACTGATGACAAGAAAAAGGAAAAGGATAAACAAGTCTCATTCCTTTCAGAAATTATTCAGAATGAATAAACTCTAGTTAAACTGAAAGGCACAGAATGAAAAGGAAATTTTGATTTCGGGAAAGAAGAAATTACAGTGGATATCTAGAATGTGAGAAATCTTGGGCCACTCTGGGCCGCTGTCCTTGGTGCATCTTTCCTTCAGAAGGGGACATTCCCAAATTATTAGGGTTAGTAATTTGGTGAGGCGATGCATAGCTTCGACACTAGGTAGATACATCAGCTTCTTGCAATACCGAATATCCAACCACATAAGGGATGTAAGGTTACCCAGCCAATCCTCAAGAGCCTCCACTCCATCGAATTTATGTACAACCAAAGATGTTAGAGAAGTGAAGTCTTGAATTTGTTGAGGCAGAGACTTGAGCTTGGGCCACCCGATCAAAATTAATGTTTGAAGTTGTGATGATCCAGTTTCAAGATGGCAATAAGGGAAGGAATCGAGCTCCTCCCAGAAGCTACCAAGTTCCAATGTCTTCAAGCTGGCGCAGCAGTGTAGCCCTGTGGGCAGATATTTTAATTTCCCACAATTAACAATCACCAACTCAGAGAGAGATGTGAGGTTGTCTAAACTTGGAAGACTCTCTAAATTAGGGGCATTTCTTATTTCCAACTCCACAAGAGAGGCTGGCAGTTGTGGGCCACTACTCCCCAAACTTTGTAAAGCTGGAATAGATTGTAGATCAAGTTCAAGTACCAATTTCTTGAAATTGGCGTAGTTTTTTAGTAGCCCTGTGGGCAGATATTTTACTTTCCCACAATTACGAAATTCCAACGCAGAGAGAGATGTGAGGTTGTCCAAACATAGACTCTCTAAATTAGGGGCATTTATTATTATCAACTCCACAATAGAGATAGGCCCACTGCTCACCAAATTTTCTAATCTCTCACAATTTTCAAAAATCAATTCACGGAGGGATGTGAAGCTATGCAAATCTGGAATAGATTGTAGACTAGAGCAACTGTATACAGCCAACTTTCGAAGAGATGCACAACAACCAAAGATATAGTGGGCAATACAAGTTAACTTCTCACAATATCTTATCTCCAACTCCTTCAGAGATGGAAGATGACTGTCAGCTTCTCCAACACATTTTAGATTATCCATTCCTTCAATCCGAACAACTGTAAGATGAGGTAGATGGCCGAGTGTTGGGACTTTTTCACATCTGTTGCACCCCTTAAGCTCAATCTGCTTTAAATTGCGAAGCTTAATCATCCATGATGGAAATTTAGTACCCATGAAATATTTAATCTCTAGCCTTTCCAACTCAGAATGCGGCTGGAGGCCTTCTAGTACATCATCATCATTATTATTCTCAGAATGTGGCTGGAGTCCTTCTAGTACATCCTCTTCATTATTATTGGTTGTTGACCTGTTTTTCGTCCATTCAAATATAAAGTGGCGTACCTTTTTCTTCTCCTCTAATTTAGCTTTACTTGCCTCATCTCCATTCCTTACGTCTTCCAAATTACAAATAATCAATTTACCCTTCAATTGATTCAAGGCAGCCAGCTCCTCAATTTCCCTACCCTTCACCTTATAATCCTTATAATAATAAGGTAATTTTCGAAGGCTAGTTAATCTCCCTAATACTCCAGCTGGAAATTTCGTTTCCTCATAACAATAAACATGTCTCAAGTTGATCAAGTTTTGCACGTCTTTTGGAAATTCTTTAAGATTGCGGCATGTTGCTCTTAATGTCTGTAGGTTATATAGCTTGCCAATAGAATTTGGGAGTCTTTCGATATTTGTAAAGGAAATGCCAAGATATCTCAAGCGTTTCAGCTCTTCGATTGAACTTGGAAGCTCCTCAATAAAATATGCATTGTATAATTTCAAGACACGTAAAGCTTTAAACCGTGGCAACATGTTTCCAGGTAGTGCTTCAGCATTCAAAAACAGTGATCTCAATTTCCCACTACTTCCTTCTGGAATTCTTTCTATAATGGGAGTTGCAACATCTTCATCCTCGTGGAAGTCTCGCATCATGCTTCCAGTTTCGGATACACGTTCTGCAAGATCATGTATGAGATCGTGCATCTTGCATTTAATAACAATGCCATCAACATCCAGTCTAGCATCTTGAAATAAGGATCTTTGGAATAGAATATCAAAATATTCATTACCTATATCCTCCATCTCTAGATTACTTTTTTCAGAAGGATGGAGGAATCCTTGAGCCATCCAAAGTTGAATCAAGTCATCTCTTTCCATCATGGCATCTTTCTTGAACGCTGAGCAATATGAAAAACATTGCTTCAGTGCTGGTGATTCCAAATTATCGAAACTCAACTTCAAGACTGACATGATTCTATCTTCTGTCTTTGGTAAGTCCCATATTCTATTGTCTTTGACTTCAGACCATTCAGCAGGAGTCTTTTTAGAGCGCAAAATGGCTCCCAAAACCTGGTAATGGATTAGAGAATTACTATCAAATAATTAGTAGATAAAATAATTAGCTATTTAAAGAAGAGTCATTCAGATATAGCGCCTTGCAACTAAAATAGTCTAGACAAAAACCCACATACTTCTAACTAAAACCCAAAATTTGAATTGAACGGCAAAATTATCCATTAATAATGATTTTAATAACAATCCCATGCCATAACCCCCTTATGTTTAGCACCGAACAGATTCTCCCTTTTAAATCCCTTATTTTCTGAGACAAAAAGTAAAATAAAATCCTTTTTAAATCCCTTTTGTTAATAGTCCCCGGGCCGTAAACGCATATGAAAATTTTATTGTACATAATATAGGTAGCCTATGCATAAAAAAAAATTAAAAATTAAAAATTGGATGCGAGATTGAATGTTTTGTCGTACAATAATCTAAAAAAAGAAGGTGGTTTCGATGGGATTTGGATTTTTTTCATTTATTATTTTTAGCACTTTTTTATACTTGTTTTAGAATCTCTTGTATTGTTGTTGACTGACCGATGATTTTTTAATAGTTTAATATCTTTTAATAGCAAATTGATAGAATATCTATAAATTGTAAATTTGTAAATCACAGTGACAAAATTGGCTACAATTTTTTTTCTTTTTTCTGAGTAACCATTTTGAAATTTCATACAAAACCCAATGATGAAAAACATTTTTAACCCCTAATTTTATATTTGTTAGGTAAATTAAAATTAATTACTAGAAGCATGGTGTTTAGCGAATCACCACGCAAATGAGCAATATTTTCGTGAATTTGAGAGATTAATTAAAGGTTGGAGATATCCCTGGTAGGGTACTAGTGCAAATGTCTTATGAAGCATCTTTGTTAATTTCTATTTAATAAATTGATTATGAAGAAAGAGATTGTGGAGAATGGGCATGACATGATGACATGAAACAAAAAGAGAAATCGACAATCTTCTTTCTCTTCCTTCAGACCTTGTAATTTCTTTCTACATGAAAATTCATTAATGCAATTCAAAATAACTCATTCATGATATGATCCCTAAATTCCCAAAAATCATCCAATAATCTAAAGCCTAAATAAAAATGCTTGATGTAAGCAATGCTTGTGTATAATATATAGTACGTGTACCTGTGCCATCAATGGTAGACCTTCACACTTGTTAGCAATCTCCCGTCCAATTCTCTCTAAACTACCATCTGAGCAAGCTGCATGTTTCAATATGGACCAGCATTCATCTGTTGATAGAAGGTCCAATTTAGGCCGCGGAAGTGTTTCTGTGAGTGATGCAACTATGCCACTGCGGGTAGTGACAATAATTTTGCTTCCTGGAGCAGAATTCAACTTCGACAAACAGCTCATCAACCTTTCCCATTTCTCAGACTCTTCATTCCACACATCATCAAGTACAAGAAAATACCTTTTTCCCGACAACTTTTCTCGGAGGCCTGTAAGCAATGCTTGCTGACTTGTCGTCGCTACCTTTCCTGAGAGTAATTCTAACATCGCAGCTAAAATTGAATTGACGTTGAAAGTGTCTGATACACACACCCACAATTTTTTGTTGAAATACACATCGATAGCACCCTCATTGTACACTGACTTTGCCAAAGTTGTCTTTCCCAGTCCTGGCATTCCCGCAATCGCCATGACCGACAGATTTTCTTGATTCATGCTGGACTTGGTCAATGTTGTAACTATGTCTGACACAGCGTCCTTCCTTCCAATGATGATTTCATCTTTACCAATGAATGCGTTGGTTTCTCGGTCCTCTCTAATTCTTTGAGGGGTTGCATCTTTTTTCTTTGCAATTGCAATTAATCCGACGAAAGCTGCATCCTTCTTGAGCTCCTCCATAGAATCGTTGATTTTTTTAATTCTATGTGCCATATTTTGTAGAGAAAAAAAGGGATTGGAGGTAGAAAATAAGTCGAGAATCTGTTTCCCCATACCGTCATGCGGTTCTACTTCTCCCCGGAGACGTTCATAGTTGAGTTCTTCAAAGACATCATCAGCCTCATCAGCTATGTCTTTAAGTTTCTTCACCCAGACTTCCGCTGCCTTGCCACCATCTTGTGCCTTCTCAGCAGCATTCCCTAAGAAATCTTGAAGGATGGATAAGGATTCATTGAGCTTCCCTAGTTCATCTTTGTATCCAAAGGCAAGACTGATTTCGTGAAAAGCACCGTCAGTCAGCTTCATCAGTATTACCTCGGTCGCGACAGTAAGCAGAGATTCTACTACCATCTTAGTTTCCTTGTGTAAACCCTGCGCAAGACAAACAACAGATCATATTAATGCTAGTTAATTAATTAAGAAACAAGAAGAAGAGACTGAAGATGGATGAAGACGCACAGGCACAGAGCTTCTCTCGTAGGTAGAAGGAGAAGGAGATGATGAATGCAGATTTGCAATACAAGACAGCAATAGCAAGCAGAGACAGGCAGAGGAGCTTCTTTAACTCTCAGGAGGAGACTTAAAAAGTCTTGCTGGGCTCTACCATTTTCATATTTGTGGACACATGCATTTCTCACCAACTGATCAGTAGATACCTCCAATCTACTTTATTAAGTGGTTCTGCATTTACCGCCATAGCATTTGTCTGGTGGTGGTACGGACGAATAATGAGACGACACCTGGACAGCTGTTACTATCTACTTTATACCGTGGTACTGTATTACCACATGCATTTGTTGGCATTTGTCTGGTGGTGGTACCAACGAATAATGAGACTACAAACAATTTCATGAAAAAACAATCAAATGTTACATTAAAACAAAACGGTAAAAAGCATTTTTATTTACTAGAGTTTAGTTAGGTACGAAAACAATTTTGATCACCGTAATTTCAATTTTTCCAATTTAATCATCAGTCCCTCTTTTCCTTCATCATTTTAACCTAAGTTTGAACATCATCAATCAATTTTGTTTTTCTATACAACATGTGTAATTAACACAACAGGCACAAACTAATTTGATGAAAAATTGAATCCTCTGATAAGATTTGCTCTTATGTGTGTTGTGAATGAGTGGGTGTGGATGGACCACATGCCCCCACATGTTGGAAGAGATGATTACACCTTCACGGATGGCATCCAAAGCTTATCCTATAAATATGGCTTTCCCCTCCCCTTGTAATAGCCACCGACACTTCCAGTCCAGAGAGAGAAAGAGAGCCAAAGAAATTCTTCAATATGTACAAAATAGTGAGCTACTTTAGTGATTGTTTAAACAGGTGTATCCAATTCAAAATTTTAAAGATTTTTTAGAATTTAAAATTTTGGAGTTATCCAATTTAAACTTTTAACGATTTCATAAAATATTAATAGTATTCAATTGTGACTTTTTAAAATTATGAGTTAAATACTTTTTTTGTCATTGGGTTTTACACACAAATTCAATTTGGTCACTTAAAAAAAAATTTAGCCTAATTGGTCACTATGTTTCCCAAAGTTTACAATTTATAGACATCATGTTATCTTTCGTTAAATGATGTTTTTATTATTATTTTTTTTAGGAATTACCTTCAGTCTTCTTCCTCTAACTTAGGGCTCGTTTGGGAGTGCTTTTGGAGAAGCGAAAAGCACTTCTAAATGGGTGAAAGCGCTTCTATCTTTTAAAAATGGTGTTTGGCAAAAATTGCAAAAGCGCTTTTGGTGAGATCCAAAGCACTTTGAGTGGTTTTGGAAGAAGCACTTGAGAGGTGCTTCTTCTTAAAAGCGCTGCAGGACAAAAACAAGAGAAGCACTTGGCTCATTTTAATGAAACTTTTAAAATACGGAAGATACCCATATTTAATTTTTTTTAAATGCCAAAATACCCTTTCTTTCTTTTTTTCTCTCCTATTAAAATCAAAACAATACCCACGAAAATTATATTATAATTTTGAGTGTGGAAGTTTGAATTTAGTGCACTACGTTGGAACTCTACTTGATGGGACGAAGTTCGAGTTGACCAGAGACAGAGACGAGCCTCTCAATTTGAATTATTTATTAGTTATTATTCTGTGTTAGCATGTAATCACAGTTTTGTCAACCTCAATTTTGATGTTTTTATTGGAATTTTGTTGTTAATGCAGTCAAGTATCGGGTGGCGTGGGTTGATGGTACTGTTGTTGCAGAGACACCAGAAGAAGGAATTGAATTCTATGTGAAGAAAGATGGTATTTTATTTTTTTGTTTTAATCTGATGTGATTTTTAATGGGGAAAGGCAATTCCTTTGTGATTATACCAATTTGTAATAATTGAATAACGAGGGGTTTGTGTCTGTTTCATGCCATTTTTGTTCAGCATTGCCAAAAGCAATCAAGAGAATGAAAAGGGGAGAGAAGGTCAGATTAATTGTTCAACCTCAGTGTATGTCTTTGGATCCTTGTTATCAAACTGCTATGTCTGGCAAAAAGGAAAAAAATTGAATCGTCTGACGATGAAAGTTGATAAATAATTGCAGATGCCTTTGGTGTGGAGGGGAGGGATTCAAACAATGGATTTCATTCTGTCCTTCCAAGTTCTGTGCTAAACATTGATCTCGAGTTGGTGTCTTTCAAGCCTGTTATTGATGTTACTGGTGATGCCAAGGTAATAAAGAAGGTCATGAAAGAAGGGGAAGGTGCGTGGGTTGCTAATGAAAGTGCAAGTGTTACTAGTAAGTTTATTGAGATGCATATTATTTTAGCAATATTACTAGGATCAGTTGGGATCCTGTGAATTTTTATTTCCTATGTTTATTATAATATTTTGGGATTCTTTAAATTTGTTTAAAGTACTTTTAAAAGTGTTTTTACTGTGTCAGCTAAACACTCAACAAAATATCAAAAGCGCTTTTATATAGTGTAAAAGCATTTTTAAATGTGACATCCAAACGACAAACTGCTACTTTGTATAAGCGCTTATGTCATAAGCACTACTGGCGTAAGCGCTATTAGCATAAGCGCTTCGGGAAGAAGCATTCCCAAACAAGCCCAACCAGTTATGGTATATTATGCTATTAGAGTTTAGCAAATTGAGGGAAATCTTGGGTTGAAATCAAAATTGTGAGGTATAAGGAAAATAAAAATGCAAAACCAAATTAAAATGAAATCAACAACTTACCAATATATTTTGGTGCTCTATCACCTTGATTACACGTCTCCTTTTCATCTAAAGTCACAATACGGCTCTCACTCAATCGATTCATGCTTCAATATAACACCCAATTTGTGACCTTATACCTCATCATTTCAATTTCAACCCAAGATTTCCCCCCATTTTTAAAAACCTTATAGCACAATAACCTAACTCTTTGAGTTAGAGGAAGAAGACTTGAACATGCTTTGTGAAAATATAAAATAAAAACTGCACTTAATGGAAGTTAACGGAAGATTACGAAACGTCTATAAATTGTAAACTTTTGGAAACATTGTGACCAATTTGGCTAAAAAAATTTCTCAGTGACCAAAAAGGTATTTACCCCAAAATTATTAACAATTTTATAAAAGTTTAGAAGTATTCAATTCTGACTTTTTAGAAGTATTTAAAAGTTTGGTGGAAAAAGTTACTGCTGCTGCTCTTAGGGAGCGCAGGCACAACTTGCCTAACCTCGTTAAATATTGTGTCTCATTTAAGGGCGAAATCAGGAATTTCTTAACAGGTGGGCTTGCCAAACCTCATTAAATATTAGGGAGTTTCACTAAAACACCCAAAATGGGGGTTGAAATTATAAAAAAACCCAAGCACTATTTAAACATATAAACACACCCAAAATCCATCATTACATACACTCAAAACCCATTTATAAACACACCCAAAAAGTTGACTTTTGGGTTGATTTTGGGTGTATTTCTATGTTTAAATAGTGCTTGGGTTTTTTTATAAATACATGTCTAGGATTGGGTTTATTTATAAATTTGTATAAATATTATGTCCCATTCAAGGGCGGAACCATAAATTTCTTAGCCGGTGGCCTAGCTATAGTTATTAGCTTAAAATTTAATCATCATTTTTATTTTGCTTATGGTTTCTATAGTCTTTCTAGAAATAAAAGTATGCTTTAAATCTTATAAACCACTTAAATTTTCAATAAGCTTTAATATAAAACAAATACATATTAAAAATACAATCACAAAACACATATTATCAAAATGAAAATATATTCAATAATAGAATTCCAAGTATACTTATTTTAAAGTGTATTTTTATTGTTCTTCTGCAACCAAGTTCATAAAAATTTGGATTTTTTTTTTTATGGATACTCATATGGAGGTATTGAGTAGATGCCAAAAATGATAAACTTTGTTTTTTTTTCTTTTTTTTTTTCCATTGTCCAAATCCAAAATTTTCTCTTGGGTTTTCTAAATAATTAATATTAAGGAGAAACTTAAATGGGATAAATGTGGCACAATATGAACTATTAAAATCCGAAGATTGGGAGTTGGTATGGCCAAGTATAATCATAGCCTGGTACTTTGAATAAACTAACCAATGTGAATAAACTATCACTTTGAATTAAATTTTGTGAAGCGGTGATGCAATATCCTAACTTGATTAGCTGGTCTTCAATCTAAAAACCAATTTCACAGTTAGTCTAGCAGATTTCCCCAAAACATCACTAGGCTGGAGGGTTGCAGCCCATAGTGTAGTTCCGCACTGGTCTCATTTATTTCATGTGCAGCTTTATATTATACATTATTTGTTTATTTTACAACAATATGGTCTTTGTATCTTCTTGAATTTCATTTGTAGCTAGTTTTGGAAGTTTAGTGTCCACAATCTCATTAGTCAAGTCACCCTAAATTGTCCAAATGTCCCACTTAATGTTAGAGGGATGTATCCAATTCATACTTATAAAGACTTTTTTTAAAGTGAGTGAATTTCATAAAGTTGACGAATTCTTAAATAATAGAATTGATAAAAGTCACTAGTAAATTCACAAGACTGTTGCTATAACAATTAGCCTTAAAAGTATGTAAAAGTTGTTCATTTAATAAGTTTTTTTAAAGCCATTAAGTTTTTGGATACCATCAAACTTTTAAAAACCACCAAACTTTTAAATACTTTTAACTACTTTTTAAAAGTTATAATTGAATACCACTAAACTTTTAAATACTATTTAAAAATCACAGTTGAATACCTTCAGACTTTTTAACTCAACAAAAGTCTTTAAAAGTTAGAATTGGATACACCCCCTTAGACATGTAGGGGTTATATCCAATCCATATCAATTTCATATGGTGGTATCCATATGCCCTTGTGGTTTATGGACATGGTGCCTAATTTATGAATATAATTATCGTTTTTCTCTATTAAAAAGAAAGGATGAAGATCGTTGTGAAGACAAGTAATTACTACTATTATTTCATGGATTTTGATGAAGAAGAAAAGATTAAATGTGAAGGGTGGACATCCAACACATTCTCACTCTCTAATTGAGTAAACCCATTTAACATTTATGAGAATGTGAAGGGTCATTGTGCATTATACTTTGTTGTGCCGTCATACAATGCGACTTTAATCAATGACATGCTGATTGAACGATTGCACAAATTATGTTGTGAAAACTTTTCATTTTATTGTCGATTGATAGTGCTTATATCACATACTTTTTGTGATTCCAATCAAACTTTTAAAGACTTTTTAAAAGTCACAATTGGATATCATCAAACTTTTAAATACTTTTTAAAATCACAATTGAATACCACTAGACTTTTATAAATACTTTAAAAATCTAATTGAATCCCTCGAGACTTTTAAACTCTATAAAAAATCATTAAAAGTTTGAATTGAAAATTGTTAGAATGTGACTATCTAACTCAAAATTTATTGACATGAGTGGAATGGTGGAATATCTTTTACAACCCTTATGATATGATGTACATTAGGAACATACAAGGGGTCATAGTCCCCCAACTTCTTCCGAAATATTATCTTTATCCCGCCCTTTCGAAACTTGATCTTATAGAACTTGGGAGGGCTTTGTCCTAAATCTATAGTATAAGTATTGTATTCACCTACTGAGAAACTACAAACTAAGCCAAAATAATTATTGATCCCATTGGGAAAAGCCAAGATATACAATGCAGTAAGTAAGAAAGGAAAAAGGTAGAGCAGAGCTTACGTTTGCTTCACTGCAAAACTACCAGCAATTAGGGATTCGTTGTTTTAAAAGGTTCCAACTGAAATGGAAGTAATCTTTCACAACTGGGACATCTTTCTCTTTAATGGTCTCTCTGTAAATTCCTATTAAAATTTCTTCACAAAAAACATAACAATAAACACGTTTTGTTCCTTTCTCATATGATTCAGAAAGCTGTCACAAGCACGATTCAGAAAGTTGTCACAAGCACAACGGGAGTCGTTTTTGCCTGGCCAAAATATGTCATCTAAACGATTTCAATTCTTGCATCTTGGAAGAGACTTACAAGTAAAACTCAGTAACTATTAATAATCCAAAAATAAAAACTTGAGAAAAAAAAAATGTAATCCGCATCTCAAGGGTAAAAGGAAATTTAAAAAAGATACTTGAGTATCATAGCCAAAGTGCGCTAGACCCGATTTGGAAAATGGAAATTAAAGGACAGCAATTTTGGAAACACAGTGCGATGAACAATTATGGAAGGAGGCCAACGAACGAATGCAACTACTTTCCCTTTCCTTCTATCTTACATTTCTTGTAAATAAGAGTTCTATGTTACAAATCAAAATTGTGGCTAGTTTCTCTTAAATGCTCAATTAGAATGAGCTTCTCAGCTCCTAAGTAAATGAAAACAAAAATTGCACAAGCTTTTATATATCTATCTCCCTTTCTACGCAACCCTTCACTTGGTCGCACTTATGAAAATTTCCGTTTTGAATGAATTAGCTGTTGGGGAAAACCAGCCCTTGAATCCAAATAGCCCGCCCGGTCCTGGAGCAAGCCATAATGTGTGAGTGACCCTTGCAACCTTTGCATTTAAGACTGTTTGAGAAGCAGACCATTAGTCGTACTCACTGCAACAGAGTGCAATCACAGATGAATGCAGCTAGAAAACTCTGAATATATGTCCAAGGTGGCCAGATGCCTTTCTAGCTTTGGTCTAGTGTGGTCCTATCGAGGGTTGCCCGCATCAGAGTTAGGAGGTGAAGCGGTGAAGCATGCCCATTTGAGTCAATCAATATGGAATGACATACGGTAGAATGTGAACATCAGCAGACTCTATCCGCAGAGCCTCTGACCATACCTCAGGTGTCTCCTCAACCCCTGAAGATTCCACCTTGGGCTTCTTTAATTGGTTACCACTGCACCCAAACAACCAATCTTCATCGTCATAATCAGGCACTTCGTCCACCTTTGGAACCAAATAAACCTGGCTTAGATATCTGGAATCTGGATGGGGCGGTCTCACAGATGCTTTGGCAACAGGAACAGCCTGTGCAGCTGTAGAAGTCAGCTTTGCAGGGGAGACGGACAATGACGGAGATTCAATGATGCCATTTATCTTGCAGTCCTTATTGTCCACCTTAACATTATTTGCTGATCCCAGCCTATCTGAAACATACGGGGTGGAAGTTTGGCAAGGTTCCACTGTTCTTCCATTTACCGTTAATGGATGAGAGGAAGAAGAGGGTCGCGGCAGTTTACTGGGCCTAATGTCATTGGCTGTAACATCAGAAAAGGAAACATCATTAGTCAGCTAAGAATAAATGACCAGAGTTTGAATCTGCTTGACAAAATTGATTCAACATCACGGCCAATTGACGGATACCAAAGTGAAAAACATTATTATTTTGAATCAAAAGGAAACAGTGGAGATCAGGATCTGACATTAGGTCCAAAAACTATACCTACAACCTCCTCCCTCAGTTGTAGGAAAAAGGGCCAACTTGTGTTAGACAACTATAAAGCATGATTGGGCTGCAATGATGATACTTTACATCATGAAAAAGAACTCACCATGCAAAACTCCATTTGTCTGCAAGTCCTTCCGTTTCTTAAGATTTCCATCAGCACCAGCACTTTTGTTGCTGTCTTTCGGAAGTTGGGAGGTTATAACGTAATGAGGGTCTATATGATCCTCTTTATTGCTCTTTCTTATTTTATCTGGCTCTGCATTCTTAGATTCATTTGTCTCCTTTGCTTTCTCTTCCTTTTTCTTCTCTTTATCCAGCTCTGCATTCTTAGATTCATGTTTCTCCTTTGCTTTCTCTTCCTTTTTCTTCTCTTTATCCAGCTCTGCAATCTTAGATTCATTTTTCTCCTTTGCTTTCTCTTCCTTTTTCTTCTCTTTACCTGGCTCTGCATTCTTAGATTCATTTTTCTCCTTTGCTTTCGCTTCCTTTTTCTTTTCTTTATCCTTGTCCTTGTCTTTCCCTTGTTTTTTCTTCTCTCTATCTTTCTCCTTGCGTTTCTCTCTTCGTTTATCATCACCTTCCTTCTCTTTGGTCTTTTCTTTTCCATCAATCTTTCTATCCACGTTGCACCCCAATGGTCTGGAAAGCCCTTCAACTTTAGTTTCAACCATACCAACAGGGTTCTGAACCATTGTGTTCCCACTAATTTGTGCTGCAACCCTGATGCCTTGCCCATCCGTCTTTCTGTCATCAACTCTCTTGTCCTTGTTCTTTTCCTTGACTTCGGCCAAAATGTCAGCATCCTTAGCCACCAATCTGACCATCCCCTCATCCTTCTTTCGGTCTGATTCAGAAATCTTCTCAACCACATGGTTACCAATTCCTCTGGCCTCATCTTTAGTTCTCCTACCCAACTCCAACAATACAGAATTGTGGTTCTCCTCAGCCAGATGACGATTTTGACTGAGCTTCTCGGCCTGATAACCTCCAACTTGCCCAGTATTTCTCTTGTCAACACAGTTATCTTTGTACTCTTTAGGAATGAATTTCTCTGCACCAAAACTCTCAGTTTTCCCCAGATTTCTCTTCTCATCTGAAGGACTAATTTTATCTTTAACGGGGTCCCTGTCTTTCTCCTTATCCTTCTTCTTGTCTCTGTTTTTTTCCTTCTTGTCTTTCTTTTCCCGATGCTTTCCATCACTTCTGTCTTTCTCACTTTTTTCTTTACTTTCTCTCTTCTCTTTGTCCTTTTTTTCCTTCTTATGCTTCTTTTCTCTGTGCTTCTCCTGTAATTTATGAAAATGTATAGAATAATAAAACATATGCATAAATACTCAAGAAACAGAAAAAATATATACTCGGAGAATTGTGTTGGAAGTTTATTTACAAGAACTAAAACTGAAAAACAAGTTTCAGGCGATCAATACGGATTAATATCAATAAGAACTGCCTTGCAAGACATGGCAAACAAAAATGACCATAACTAAATCTCAGTGAATTCCTTCAGTCATTAGACCCTATACTACTAGTGATGTCTCTGAAGTATTTGGCCAATGAATTCAATTTAATAATCTTTCCATGTTCCAAAAGTACCACCAAACCCATGAAAATCCGTGCAGTCCTCTTTAAAAAATTCCCAAAAACCAGAAAAGGACAAAATACAGCAACACGTTGCACATTTCACATAGTTTTTGCACACTTGAAGCCATCAAACGCATAGTTTCTGAAGAAATACAACATTCTGTGAATTGTACACCCAAAGTGAAATCTCTAATCAAACCATCATTCACTTGAAAAACCTTTTTTATACGTAACGGAAGAGGCAAATAGAAAGCAACCTGTTTTATAAGCAATAGAATTAATTCACAGGTATGGAAGTATAAAGCAAGTACTTTAGGATCACACCACCAACCTTCAATAAGAGTACATTTAAGAAAATATAATTTCGCGTATAAGAAGGAGCAGAAATAGGACATAAAACTACAAACGCAATCCACCCCAAAACAAAGATTCAAGACAAGCAAATCAGGAAAAACAAACAACAAAGAATATTAGAACATTTCAAACACAACTCAATAACATAAGAAGATCATCATAAAGCCGTCATCAGCAAGGTGAAGGAAATACAACAAAATAGAACTTATTTGTTTTGTAGACAACATCCTATGCAACGTCCACAACAAAGGTGAGCATGACAATAAGATAAACCCGTGTCTTAATACTCCAAAAGGTAATGACAGAAGCACAGTTAACAATTATCCATACTATCCAGTCTCCCACTCATCATAATATACCTACCGCATAAAAACAAGCAATCCAAAGGCATTAAATTACATTGTCAAATGCATTTTCAACGTTAATATGCCTTTTTCTAACCCTAAATTTAATGTATGCATTTCAAAGTGAGGATTACACCTAGATATTTTCTACCTTATACCACTATAAGTAAACTTAGATAAAACACATTAGAAAAGATAAACATGTCACAACCAAATTCAAGGAAGCATGCCATAATGCCAAGTCAACTCCAAAAAAAGATGACAAGAAGTTAAAGAGATCCAAATATTCTAAAAAAGATGGAGAGTGAAATATTCCCAAGCCATTCAACCCATGAAAGCAACTATTAAATTAGTATCAAATTATCAAACACTGATAGGAACACCTCTAATGCGAGAAGCCAGAGCTAATCAGAATTCAGCACCTGCCCCCACACTACATTGAGGGAGTAACGTCATGCTAATCAAATGCCAAATTCCACCATTAATGGTGTTTTGTCTCTTTGCACTCATGACCAAAAACTTCAGATATAGAAATTCTGACTTCGCAACTCAAAAAACTAGATGCTCCTATAGGCCTTTAAACTTCAAAAGCCCCCTCTTCAATAGGTTCCATATTCTCTCTTAGTTTGAAGGAATGCAGCTAGAAAACTCTGAATATATGTCCAAGGTGCAACCTTGGACCATTTCCTTCTAACTTTCCATGTTAAAATTTCCATCTTCAAAACGGTCAAAGATCGCCTCTTCTTTGAAACCTCATTCTTGATCTTCCTATCACTGTCTCAATTCTGAAAGCTTCAGGCCAAAGATATATCATAGCAAATGAAACGCTTGTTGGCACTTGGTGAGTAATGTAATATCTTTTGATTGCAAGTGCTAAAACAAGGTTCATAATCTTATAAAATTAAGTAACAATTCCCAGCAAAGTTGAACCAGGACCAGAAAATGATAATTATAAGACACATTGCATGTTAGAATGAATTGGTGCATCTTATTTAGAAAGGCGAACATCATGAACAAATAGATCATTAGCACCAAAAAGAGGAATTAGAAGCCAAAGTTTCTTTGAAACCTGTACAGGCAAGAAAAATACATTCATGAAAGAAGAATTGTATAGCTAAATGGCAATCATTATAAACATCACATTCAATTGTCATATCCAAGGACATCAGTATAACTGTATTGAATATTACACCTTTTCTTATTTACTTTTAAGTACCTTTACTCTATTTTTTATCTCCCCAACAACAAAGCTGGTCTTATCTTCTGGTCTCTTCTTTGTTCCACTTATAGAGAAACAAACCAAAAATTGTACAAAAGTTCTTACAATAAGAATTTCTCATAAGTAAAATATGAATCCCTTGTCCCAGGAAATCACAAAGACACCCGGGTCACCCCAGTCAAACTACAACCACCGCATAAATATTTTAAGGTCCAATCCATACTAGTCCTCGCTCACCAAATCTACATCATAAATCCAATTTAGCAATTATAATAAAAATGTGACTCATTTTTTGCCATCTTTAGGAGATATCCATCCTAATCAATCATTGTCAAATGTATACCAAAATAATTGTTTGAATATTAAAACAAAAAAAAATAAGAAATTGGTGCAGTACTATATTGTATAAGTTGTTTTTTTTTTTTTCTTTTTTTTTTTCTTTTTTCTTTTTTTTTTTTTTTTTTGTTTGGTCAAAATATGTTGGAAAATGACACTGCATTTGGTAAGGCTTCTAACACCTATGATTCTATGAATATTAAGTAAAAGTGACGATCATTAACCAGTTAAATGTTTTTCTGCAATATAGCCGATAATTCATAGTATGATTACAAGTAGAGAATTTAGAGCAATTTACCAGGGATACAACTTATACAAGACAGGATAAAGACTACATACGGATGCTAATAGACCATATCTTTGATAACAACAATTTGATTAAGAGACAGTACCAAAATAAATAAAAGAAAGAAAGAGGGTGGAATTCAGAGGACAAACAAAGGAGTATAAAGAAATCAAGACAAGCAAAAGGGAATGGGAAACAGAAAAGAAAGGGAGACTAACCCACATGATAAAAGCTCCAAATCACAAAGTAGAAAAGAAAAAATAAATATAGCATTCCACATTTTGCTTAAAAGTAAATTACGTAAAGCAATGGTAATGGCCACCAGCAAAGGCCATACACAATGTTAATTACTAATCCTGAAATTGATATTAGAAAAGTTGTAAAGAGCTTAAGTTGACAGGATAAGCTCAGAGCACGTAACTCAGGAAGAGCAACAAGAAACAGGCAGTAATTCAAAGAAACCCGATTGGCACCTTAAATGTTTTCCTCTGTGTCTGCTATAATTCAAGTGTTGAATTGCCAATATGCACTCTAAACTTCGGTCAACAACAATTCTCCTCTTGTGTCTGCTAAGACTTTAAGAGATTATGCAAATGTCCAGCAACAAAAGATTGTGCTTACCAAACAATTATTGTCATCACTGTTTTAAGCCAAAACTGCTCTTCTTTCTTAATAATACAAACCCAAATAAAATAAACTAAAAATTGTAGCCCATTAGTGTATTATCAACCATACACAAATATCTATCTACTTCCTTGTTTCTCTACTTTGGAAGTTATTATGGCTAACACCACATGCCTGAATTAAAACGCACACTAATGCCCAGGTCAAATATCCTAGAGATTTTTGGGAAAAACATAATTGTAACACCTCTTTCAATTTCTTCTTTTCTCACTTTGGTTTCTCTTCTTCTTTTTTTAATGAAAAACAGAGAGATGTTATTAACATGTCATAGAAGTACAAAATATAGTGGTCAAGCTGTCCACTGGAATGCATAAAAGACCCATAACCAACCAGCTATTCAACAGCACAGAGTAAACAACGTCCAATAGTAACCTGAGTAAAATAATTACAAAAAAGCTAAGCTAGATAAAGAAAGCCTGAATGAATAAGGACAAGAGGTATTCTGCTGAAAATACAAGGAAATTTGAGCCCATTGAAGCCCAAAAACAAAACCCTATCCCACAATCAATCCATTTCTCCCCCTAAATTTTTAAAATCCTTTTATTTATTACACCCACACTATCCAAAAAATATCCATAAAAGAAATATTTTAACAAAGAAAATCCACAAGGTTTTTGCCCTTTTGTGTTCCTCCAAAAACAAATTGCTTCTCAACAAACAGATGCATAATTTGGACATCATCAAAACCACATTAGCTTCCAAAGCCAGTTTGTGTGCTAAAGCTTTAATGTAACAGTGCTACAGAAGAATAGATGATCTATACGTCCAGGTTTCTTTTGCACATGACGCACCAATTTCGGGCTAGACTAGGCCTCAAATAATGTCACAAGTATTGGCTCCATCGTGATCATTAATCCAGCCCTATATGATAAAAATGGGGACTGGACAAATATGATGTGAATGCATGTGGTGAGTGATTGGTACTAAACCCGTAAACTAAGCGATACCAACACATTATGTAATAAGTAGTCACTTACACAGTACAACCCAGGTTTATGTATCAAAGATTCTAAACATATTATCCAGATATGGTTGTAATCTGATGGTCCTGACCCTAGAAAAGAAAAATCCCTCGGTACTGATCCAGCTTAGAGAGCAATGTAAACTATTGCTAATTCAACATGGCACCAGTGAGCATGAATAGTATAAACAAATCAACCTAATGGTCGCTTAGTAGTGGAAAAATTTATATTCCCCAACTAGCTCCTAACTTTCACATTGCAACAAACTGAACAAGTAGCTGTTAATCGAATAATTTGGTCACTTCAAGACACCGGCAAGAAAAACATCTGACAAAAGGTACCTGAGTAGAAAGCGGGACAAAATCACCAGTTTTCCCAGCCAGTTCATCTATCCATAATTTTCACTGGCCACCTAAATCTTTACTTAAAGTCTTCATCCTGGATTGTTGGATTTTATTTGTTCCTAAACTACAGCATCAAATAAACAATCTTTAGACACACCAGACAAACACTTTGCATCTTTAACTAGAATATCCACTGAAAGTGGAGAAAGCAAAAATTTTACAACTTCTAATGTCCCATATAGATGTGTAAACCATACTAGTTAACAGAAGGGAGCAATCATATCCATTCGCACGCTCCTAATAAATGATTATTTCTATTTTTCCTTTTTATCTTTTTGATAAATTATGTCCCTAATGAATGCTATACGAATTAAAAGATATTGATGATCATAAGGAAAGTATTTTAACCTTTTTTAGCAAGTCCACATCATCCTTCCTAGCCCTTTTTTCATATCCAGGTGGAGGAAATGGAAAGCAGCGCGACATTGCACAAAATCCCACAATACAAAACACCAGTGCCTTCTAAGGAAGAAAACTCCTGAATTAGTTTCCAGTAGCACTGTTCCAGAAAGGGAACGAACCAGCAACTATGCTCCTGTCCATGCACCATGTCCCCGCATTCATTCCCAGCATCAAAAATCCTCCATGAGCTCTCAGTCACTCCAACAGGCACTTGAACCAATCCTTAATCGTTTCCACACAGAAGTGCAGGCAGGCAAAGCAATAACACACACAATTCACTTGAAAAACCAAGGCTCAGCAAAAAGCACCAGCTCAGTGGAAACAACTGCAACACAAAACTGAACTAAAACCCAACAAAACCCAGATAAACTAACTACTTCAAAAGCTATTCTGTCAAGAACTTTGTTCAAACTAAGTTAAGCCAAACGGTTTTTTGAGAAACGAAAACGGTCCACTACAATCCAATCCTCTGTGTTGCCTTCTGGACCAATACAGAATCATCAGCTCCTCCTTATAACCAAAAACCAAATTCATTCCCAGCTGAAGATCAAGCACGCAAAAACAGCAAAAACCCGGAAGTCCTTTTGCTCCGAAATTATGATCCCACAAGTCTCTGATCACTCATGTACCCAATTCAGTATGTGCAATCTTCTTCCATGCTCAGAAAAACAATAACTCCCATAATTCTATGCAATCTCAGAGTTCATGTACTCAACCCAGCTCTGGAAAATCCACAATTCCGTTCCGGGGAAAGATCGGAGCTTATGCTCATTCTATGAGCGGCTGCGATGATTCCAATATCTGCCAGTTCCTCAAATGTGCTCTGATCAAACCCTAATTAGTCCAAAACAGCGGAATTGGACGAGTACCCAGTTGCGATCCAACGAAACCCTAAAATATCCACCAAAACAAAGCATGCTCTGAGCAAAATACCCACTATCAAAAACCCTAATCCCACTCCTCAAAAAATTCTGGGAAAAAAATCAAAATTTTAAAAAACAACAAAACAACAAAAAGAAGAAGGACAATCGAGCACTTTACAATTTTAAGTTTTATTTCGTGGGTCGAAGCCAATTTAAAGAGGGTATCGATCAAAAGGGCTAAAGAGAGCGGATTCAAAGCGTTAATGGGAAAATCTGTGAAATCCAAATTCTGGGTATTTGAGATACAACTGGTGAGATTACCTTGTCCACTACGAAGTGGGCAATGCAGAATGACAAAGGAGATCTCTCTCTTTGTCTTTCTCTCTAAAGATGAATGATTTACAAGAAGAATGGGATAGATGAGAGAGCAGTTTTCTTCTGTGTGTTTGCTCTAGTTTCTCTCAGAGTCTCGAGTCTTCTAGTGGTTGTATTTTATGGTGGTGTCTGTCTCTCTGTCTGTGTCTGAGTCTGAGTCTGTCTGAGCCTCTCTCTCTCTCTCTCTCTCTCTCTGTGTTATTGTTGTTGTGTGGTTTTGGGGTTCTCTGTATTTTCTTCTGTGTGTGTTCTCTTCTCTCTCTCAAGTAGGCTAATTTGCGTTCGGAAGTTACACGCGAGAATTGAGAGAAAGAAAGGGGCACTAAAGGGAGGTTCAAGCACATATATAATAAATTGGTGAGGCACTACACAACACATGGTTTCCAGAGAGAGAAAATTGATATTTGAAGCTCCATCCAAATCCAAGTCCCACGCTCTCTATGCATTGTTTGGATCCAAATTTTTTGCATTGGAGACTAGTTTTTGGAAATAGAGTCAAAGCCAAGCCAAGCTGTGTATTAAGGTGCTCAAGTTTGAATTGATTTATTTAATTTGTCCAGCTTAAATCAAGTCCAAGATTTCACGAGTTGTACATAAGTTGGATGCCTCTTTCCAAACTTGAATTTTCTTTGGTTTAGCTTTGTTTGTGGCACAATTTCAACACTTAAATAACCAACCTTGAATTAAAAACTCAAATTTGCACTCCAAATTATGATAAACAATAATATAAATTATATGCATACATATTAGAAATATAAATATGTAGTGAAGAAATAAAATTATTGTAACTCAAGAGGTTAAAAGTATTCATTATTGCTGTAAGTATTATGAATTAAGTTCAAATAATTCGAGCTTAAGTTGAACTCGAACTATCCTATAACGAAAAAATACTTAGACAATCGTCAATTACTCCCTCCCTTACATAATGTGGAGAGTGAGACTAAATATGGGAATCTATTTTTCAATTAAATATAAGATGAAATACACACACAAAAATCAATTAAAAATTATTCTTCCTATGTATATATACATGATACTTTTGACAAGTAAATTTTGAAGTATAACCTAATAAGCCTAACACAAACAAGCTAAACCTAAGGTCTAATATTGTCTTCATTTCCTCAGGGGTCTAAGTGAAGTCTAAATAGTCCTCTAATCTAATTCTCTTTTTAACTTATCAACCCTCTAAAAAGCTAATTCAAATCATTAATGAAATATTCTTACCTTTTATGTAGAGAATATTTGTCATGGTGGTGTGGTGTGAACGCAGCACGCGCTATGGACACGGGTATGGAGAGCAAAACCGCGGCTACAAAAAGGAGGAGTTTTAGTGTGAGAAGTTATTTGGGTATTTTTGCCTAAGCAGTAAGCACATGCGGTTGGTTCCCTCACCATCCTCTCTCTCTCTCTCTCTCTCTCTCTCTCTCTCTCTCTCTCTCTCTCTCTCTCTCTCTCAGTAGTCTACTGCTGCTGATCTCCACGTGGCACCACCCTAACCTATCACACCTCTATCTGTCCATACACGTGTCACCCCATCACTCCCCTCCTACACCAGAAGATAATTGACCGTCCATTGCTGCAAAAGGAGTGCTTCCATGAAGCACACGCCAACCAAATTGATATGCCTTGCCAGTCTTGCCTGCATGGGCAAATGGGCAATCCCATGCTTTGAAGCCAAAATATTTTGCTTGCCAAGTGACTTTTCACTTGCTTAAGCACTTGGTATATGCCTTTGTGGGAATAGGGTTTTGTTCTTTAAGGAACAATACCCACCCAGTAGCCCTTAAGCTGATTTTGTTACGGTCAATTGTGTGTAACCGCATGAGCAAATCCTAATCATAGATAAACATAGGACTAGTAGTTTTCAATGGAATTTTGTTGAGTTCATTCGTGTGTGATTGTATGAGCAAATTCTAACCACATGCATCTACGGTCAAAATGCACTCAGGCGCAATTGACTGTAACACTTTTTATTTTTATCATGAACTTGTTTAAATTGGATGTGTAAAAGAAGAAATTGAATGAGTTGGAATGGTAAGAATTTGGATATAGGTGTGTATGGAAATTCGAATCTCTGTTTATGATTTAAGAAGGTACTAAGGTCATCATGTGAGTAGGATGAGTAAAGTAATTGAGTTACCAGATAAGGAATGAATTGAAATGGCATTTAGAGAAGATAATATACCAAAAAGAAGATGTTGCCAAATGAAGAGGTAGATGCCCCCAATCATTGTGAAGACATGCATGTGGGATGAGCTAAGGTGAGCTCCATAAAGAGTGAAACAATGTCCTAAAATGTTATCTCAACATAAGAGTGAGTGATAGTTTGGTTTTTAAGAAAGGAATTGAATTTGGAGTCATGTAATTTCTCTGTTTTTTGATATCTCTCATTGGTAATTAGAAATTGGGATTATATTTTCTTCCGGGAGATTTTCCAATAAATATTTAAGTTAAAGGTTGGTTACATACTTCTAATATCGGCCGTTAGATTGCATCTAAGAGACTACCAACACATTAATGGATGCAATTTCACGCCCAAGATTAGAAATATATAACCAATCCATAACATAAAATACTTATTGGAGAATCTCCCTTTTTCTTCCAACCGCCTCTTGAAGATTTTTCCTTTTTTTTTCGCTTGATTTCTCTTAAGATTCATTTGGACTTGATGTAGGTTAATGCATATTCTTTTGGTTCATGAAGTATGAAATATGTGTCATTGACCAGAAAACAATGTATCAATATAATTTTTTTTTGGCTTTTCTTTGTAGATCTAAGTCCACATACAATTTATTTTAAAATTATGGCTCCCTAAAACTAAATTTATGGTTCCATCCATTGAGAGAAATATAACTAGAATACTAGTTAGTAAGTTACGTACAACCCTTAGTATTCTTTTATTGAGCTTTCGCTTTTAGAGATTGTTTGTGCCTAATAAATCACGGTCATGAACTGATTGAAGAGACTTCCCTTCGGCCCTAGCGCCTACCGTTTCGTCAAGAATTTCGCTTCCTAAGAACAAAAGAAAAGTTGCAAAGGCATAACCCTCTTGGCCTCGCGACCGCAGTATTGAAGGCCGAGGCCGAAGGCCGTAAAAGACGCGGCTTAAAAAAGCTGTGATTGAATCGCCACGTGGTCTCAGGGCCCCACGCTCCATTTAATGAAGTAATGCCTCTGACTTCGCAGCAAACCCACTAGTCACAAGAAGCATTTAATGCACAAGGGAAGTGATTGAAGTCAGGATTTGGTGATGGAAATCAGGGTGGTTAGACGCAAACATTCTCACAAGTAATCTTACGACTTAAGGTCAGATCACCAACCACCAGACCAGGGCATTAAATGCGTTTCCCACGGCCAAGGAGGCAGAACCCACGATCAGGGCGGTGGCCGAGATTTACCGAGATTTATGGGGGTCACACCACCATGCTTCTCAATCCCAAACCACCATGCTTCACGATCCCAAATGCCGATTTGACTACCCACTTGCCCCGGTCAGGCTCCACCACGCAGGTCTTGTCAGCCTCGAATGTCCCTCTAAGACTCCTATAAATACTAAGCTCAGGACTACATTCAAAGGGTTCAAACACCAAACCAAAGTCTCCCACGGAGCAAATTATATTTTTCTGTAATGCACTTTCAATACCTTTATTTGTTTTCTTAAGAGTAGTGGTAGATTGTAAAGAAAATCCATTCATCAATATATCATACGACCCTTGATTTTCAAGGTGCCGGAGCACCATCTCTGTTATCGCCTCACTCACTCTATATATCATACGACTGTCACTCTCTGAGCAACGCGCCGGAGCACCGCCTAAAACCCGCCACCAACACCACCACTAAACGGCCTTGTAGCTCAGGCCGTGAACCTGACGGCCGAGATCAGTTCCTCTCTCGGCGACGATCGTTTGATTAGGAGTCGAACGCAAAACAGGCGCAACATTTAAACCATCTTCTACCCGAACCTCATCATCATTTCGACGCACGGTAGACTGTGCTGGCATGCCCGCGCACAACCGCATCGCATCCAAAAGAATGACGTCACGTGTTGACGCACATCCCCTCGGCCTGGAGCACCAGGCCGTGAGATTCGCGACAGACAACAGAGATTGATTAGGAATTGGTTTTGTGTTGGTTTTGAGCTCGATTATGTTGATTTTGTTGTGATCTGAATAATTATTGATTAAACATGTAATTCATGTATTCTGCTATTAAGGTTCTACTCTTTTGTTTAGTGTTTTGTTTGATTTAGTATTTTGTTTAGGTTGATTTTGTTGTGTACAAATAAGGGTCTGTCACTGTTTTTTTAAAACCATTTTCGTAAAATATTTCAACAACAAAAAATGAGAAAACAAATTTGTATTCAAGATTGGAGAATGTGTATGATGCTTGATTGGAAAATAATTTCATCAAACAAAAATAATGAAATTTATCTGGGGTACTGAGATGTGAAAATGACATAAATAATGAATATGCCTTAGGCATTAGTATTTTGAAAACCATTTTCTAAAACAAAATATTATCATACATGAAATATATAACATATTTTCTTAGTCTTGGTAATGTACCAACCATATTATATATATAACTCACTCAAATCAATTTAATTGTACAAATAAAGTAATTAGGAGGAAGGTCAAATTAGAGATGCTGGAGTACGTAGAAATAATGAGGCTGAATGGCTGAAACGATTTGCTACCGATCTTGGAAAAGGCTCAATTTTGCAGGCAGAAGAAGTATGGGATTTGTATTAAAATGGCTAATGAGTCTTGTGAGGGCTTTTTTGGTCCGGCAACTACTGCTGGCTTGGGCTACTATAAACAGCCAAATGTGTGAAAATTGCCCATGGGTCTGAGTTTAAGAATCAGACCCCAAGAACGCTTCGAAAGGGTAGCTGAGCCTTAGGAAGCACCTTGGTTACCTTCACTAGCAAAACCAACAGTCGCTTACAGATAGATTCTTAGTTTGGCATGAGAAGCTTGTGGCATGGAAGCAAAGTAGTCATGAGCCTATGAGAAACAAGGGTTCTAAGGAAAGAGGGAATGGATTCTAAGAGGGTTTGTTGAAGAAAGAGGGAGATGGGGGAATAATGGGTGTGTTGAGTAGTTTCCGGCAACTTGACGGTGGCTCTGTCAAGCTCTGGAACGATTTACCAGAAGAGAAAATGGAAAATATGGAGGAATTGGGGCTCGAAATTGCAGAGGTTTCTAGGATGAGAGATGAAGCTTACTCTCTAGATGTGTATTGTTTAGGATAAAGAAGAAGGAGATAAAATGTGAGGCACTTGGGCTTGATGTTTCCAGTAGTTAAAGAATAAGCTTGCTCGACTACTCTGGTTGAGTTTAATGGGTAGGAGATACCTCCTTTCATAGCCGCTGGAAGCTCATCCTTCCCAAGAAACCCTAATGGGTTCTCTCCAATTTTGCCAAGTCTCTCATTTCATTTCTCTTCTCTCCCTTCGATCTATCCCATTTTGTGAAATCCTACTCTGCCCAATACATAGATACCAGATTTTTAGGAATTCAGAAGTCTTCCCGCAACCATTCCAGTGGTGATTTCTTATCTTTGGCTATCATCTCTCCTTCTTTCCTCCCCTATTTCATGGCAAGATCTGGTAAAGGAAGGAGATAGGCAACTTTGGTTGGTCTGAAGGCTGCATTTTCTCCTGTGCGAGCCAATATCCTCTTATTTTTTGAGCGATTTTCCTTGAGGTTTGTTTTGCCCACGTGTTGGAGCCTCCAAGCAGTTCACATACATGGGCAACTTTGGCTTTTGTCTCCAGTTAAGTGATGGAGATTGAAGATATTTTGCTTGGTTGCTTGAGCCTTCCTAGGGTGATGGGTTAACCCGTTAAGGGAATGGGCTAATTTCCTAAAGTGATAGGCTATTTTATTGAGATGATGGGCCAATTTTTCCTAAAGTATTGGGCTATTTCTCTCCTTTATGCTTACCCACATATTTGGGCTCAAGAAATGAGCTTGAGTTTTGGGGCTCCCAAGCAACCCAAAACTTCCATTTCTCGGCTCATCAATGGGCCTCATGAAAGCTCGTTACCATCCATACCATAACCCACTTAGCAAGCCCCGGGCATTTTGCGTGGCTTGGGCCCACTTAAGCTTGTAGCGTGGCTAGGTGTAATAATAATGATTTTCTACTTGGCGTGCTTGAATTTTATCGTCTTTGAAAAGAGACATGATGCTTGACGGAATAATTAGCATGGGCTTGTAGAGCCAGTGCATTTTATAGGCTCATTTTAATTCTTAGCGTGATGGATTGCATATTTATTTGGCATGGCACGTGGTCGTGGCTCGTGCAAGCATGCATGACGAATTTCGCGTGCTCCAAACCGGGTCTTTTCTTAATAAGGTATCACACTTGGCAGAAAATTTATTTGGGCCCAACCCTGAATCTTTTGGGCCTCAACAAGTCTAAATTGTTTTCAAATAGCTCCAAGATTTGTGTTCTCACCCCTTCTTTTGTCTTAAGTGAGGTGAGGGCTACATAAGGTTTTATGAATGAAGGATTTTATTTAGCCCAACTTGCTTGAATTGGACTCAATTTGGATATGGGTTTGTGAATACCCGTATTTTAAACGGATAAAAGAATATATTTATCTTTTGGATAAACTTGGACAATATTATCTTTTTAAGATATTTATCTTTTGGATAAACTTGGATGATCTTATCTTGTTAGGATATTTATCTTTTGGATAAACTTAGATGTTCTTATCCTTTTAATATTGAAGTTTATCCTATCTCTATAAACACTATAAATAGGAGCATAACCTTATAGTTTTAAAACATGAGAAATTAGAAAGAAGGAAAGAGAATGGTGATGAAACTCTTGGAGCTTGGTTTGGGTGATAGTACATGAAGATAGGTAGATGCGTTGTCTTGCCAATTTATTTTAAGGGCTCTCATTATCGAGGTGAGTGGTTTATGTAATGTGTTCTTAAAGTTCTTATTTTGTGATAAAATATGAAAATCATGAATTATTTTGGATTTGTTCTATTTACAAATATCTCTCTATTTCAAGTCAAGCATGTTTTATTTGGTGCAACCGTTCATACTATATATATTGATTGGAATTTTGTGAAGTATGTATTATTCATAGAACATGAGAACTTCAATGTTGGGGTATCAGAGGGATAGATGTACCACACGGGGACATATGACAGTGAGACCAATAGAGGTTACGTGGTTGGTTACATGCTACGAACGATAACTGAGATATGAATGGATGATGTGATATGATTTGGATTGATGTATCTTTTCAAGATATTTTCAAGAGTGTGTAAAACGGCATTACTTGACTGACATATTACATAATCTATTCATTGAGCAGTGGGTGCTCATTCCTCACCCTGTTTAATTTTTCAGATGAATTAGTGGGCAAGACAATGACTAAATCAGTTGAGGCTGAATTAGATGAAAGTGGTAGAGCTTTATTTATTTATTGTAAAGTTGTAAAATTTTGGATCTATTTTAATAAGAGAAGTTTATTTTAAACTCATATTTCGACTTTTTTTAATTTTTAATTTTACTTTCTCACGCACCGGGCATTGGGTTTCCACCAACCCCGGGTCTAAGGCGTGACATAATGGTACCAGAGCCCAGGAATTAGATGCCCTTGGGAACACTGTGGTTTAACATTTGTGTTAGATAAACTTGAATTCATGTAGTGACAAAGATTTTTAGGAGTAAATTGTCTTGGGTAAGATGCTATAAATTTCGAGGACGAAATTTCATTTGAGGAGGATAGATTGTGAAGACTTGTATTTTAAACGGATAAAAGAAGATATTTATCTTTTAAATAAACTTGGACGATATTATCTTTTTAAGATATTTATCTTTTGGGTAAACTTAGATGATCTTATCTTGTTATGATATTTATCTTTTGGATAAACTTGGATGTTCTTATCCTTTTAATATTGAAGTTTATCATATCCCTATAAACACTATAAATAGGAGCATAACCTTATAGTTTCAAAACATAAGAAATTAGAAAGAATGAGAGAGAGTGGTGATGAAACTCTTGGAGCTTGGTTTGGGTGATAGTACATGAAGATAGGTAGATAGGTTGTCTTGCCAATTTATTTTAAGGGCTCTCATTATCGAGGTGAGTGCTTTATGTAGTGTGTTCAAAAAGTTCTTATTTTGTGATAAAATATGAAATTCATGAATTATCGTGGATTTGTTCTATTTACAAATATCTCTCTATTTCAAGTCAAGCATGTCTTATTTGATGCAACCGTTCACACTATATATATTGACTGGAATATTTGTGAAGTATGTATTATTCATGGAATATGAGAACTTCAATGTTGGGGTATCTGAGGGATAGATGTATCACACGGGGACATATGACAGGGAGACTAATAGGGGTCACGTGGTTGGTTACATGATATGAAGGATAACCGAGATATGAAGGGATGTTGTGATATGATCTGTATTGATGTATCTTTTCATGATATTTTCTAGAGTGTGTAAAACGGCATTGCTTGACTGTCATATTACATAATCTACTCACTAAGCGGTGAGTGCTCATCCTTCACCCTGTTTAATTTTTCAGATAAATTAGTGGGCAAGACAATGACTAAATTAGCTGAGGTTGAATTAGATGAGAGTGATAGAACTTTATTTATTTATTGTAAAGTTGTAAGATTTGGATATATTTTTATAAGAGAAGTTTATTTTAAACTCATGTTTCGGATTCTTTTTATTTTATTTTAATTTCTCATGCACCGGGCACAGGGTTTCCACTGACCCTCGGGTCCAGAGCGTGACAGGGTTGCCATATGCTTGAGTCACATTCTTCTAGTATCAGTAGTTTAGTGTTTGCAAAAGGGGATTGAGCGCCTGGTCTAGTGGTTTGACTAATGTTATGGCTGCTATTTAATGAAGGTATAAATGCTAAAGCTAAACTTATTAAATTGGATTATAGTTTAACATACTTGTCATATAAGTCCCATATAGTGGGGTGATACTCTTAAGAATTGACTTAAACTCAATCGAAATTTAGTTTAGGCCAAGCCATCAAACGAGGCCTATAGGGTCAGGTTAGGAGTGGGACTAGGTATAATGTTTTCTCATATAGTCGCATCTTTAATATGGGAGTACTATTAAGTTCCATCTTCCATTAAGTTAAGAACATGAAAGGCAAAAAACTCTAGTCGCACCATGGTCCTCTTTCTCCTTATCGACAACCAGCCACAAGAAAGCTAAGGGGGGGATGTGGCCATTGCCCCGCCTCCCCACTGCCCATCTTCCCTTTCCTCTCCTCATCTCCCTTTTTTTTTCTCCCATCTTTTCCCTTCCTCTTATCCCCTCTCCCCCTCCATTTCCACTCCCCAGATAGTCTAGATCTGTTTGGATCTAGGTATGTTTATATGTTTGTTTTGTTTGGTTGTTTTTGCAACTTTCTAGATGACTAGTGTTGTCTTTGTTTATGTGGTGGAGACAGTAGGGACACTGGATTGTGTCTATCCTCGGGAGAGTTGTGATATCTAATAGCTGATATTTTGTCTCTATTTCAACGATGGTGGCAGTAGCAACGCTGTTGGTAGTTGTTAGGATGTGGTTCTCTTCTCTACTTTGCGCCAACCGAAGAACTATGCTTGGTCATATGCGGTTTTCTTTGTCAGGTTCTGAGTTGAAGTAGAGTGCTTCTCAAGGGTCATTTTATTGTTGTTTCTGTGTTCCTCCTCCGTGTTCTTTCATGGTTTCTTCTATGGTATGACTTGCAATTTGTGTGGGTGTTAAAGGACTATGATTTTGCTCATAGAAGGCTTGTTTTGACAGTTGGGATGTTCTGCGGTCCTCTCCTGTGGGTTTACTATTTGAGGTTTCTACAATCTTCTCATGTGGGTCTACTGTGTTTTGATTATCGTCGGAGGTCTTTGTGTTAGTTTTCGTTTTTTATTTGTTCTTTTATCGTAATGGTCCAAAGTGACATGAATTGGACTCTCTTGTTAGTCCATGACATGTGTGGTACCTTTTCCTCTCCTGGGATTTGTCCCATAAGGTTGTCCTAGGAAGATTTTAACAATGCCACTATATCATGTCACTATTTGTATGTCTTTGGTTCTTTGAATGAATTCTTTTTCTTAAGTTAAGAACACGAAACATTCAACATGATACAATACTAGTTCCTTTTAGAGATATTTAGTTATATATCCATTCTTAGCACTAGTGATGTAGATAGATCATATACCATTTACTTTCTACAAATAAACCAAAAAAAAACCTAAAAAATGACAAATGGCCGTATTGAATTTAATTTTGATTATTAAATTACTTTGATACCCTATTGAGTGTTTTTTATTTTTTTATGAGGTTTGGAATTGGGCTTAATTTAAGAAATCGATGACATTTTTATAATTTATGTGAAGTTTGAAGCCTCTTTATTATGTTGTAAATTAGTTTTTGGTGTATTTATGAAGTCTATTTGATGCGAAAAATAGTTCAAAAAGAATCCGGGCTATCAAAGAATTAATTTGGACTTTGGCCGACCATTTAAACACAACATATAATTAAAAAAATACGAAAATGAGATACAAAATTTTAGGGGAGGCATTTCCGTAACTCACCTGAAAAATGATAAAGCATATGCGGAAATAACACCCGCAGGTGAACCAATCTTCCCCTTAAGCCCTACCCTATAAAACCCACAAGATAGTGATACAGTCACCTCACTGCTTTTTGATTTTCGGCTTAAACCCTAGCCGCTCCGCTTCTTCTTCATCCTCATTTCTCTCTGAGGTGAACCCCTTTCCTAAACCCTACCTCTCTTTCTATCTCTCTCTCTCTCTGAATGCACGTTATCAGATTGTATCAGTTTCCATGTTTTATTTGACCTGTTTTGTTACTGATTTTTCTTATTTGTTGTTCTTCTGGGAATGTAAATATATGTGTATTATGGGTTTTGGATGTTTTTCTATAAGTAGGAAGATGTATGACTCCGTGTTTTTGGGTATTTTATGTTATTTGTTTAGCTACCGATCAGCTTGAGGAAAATGGTAGTAACAGAGAGAGAATGTAGGTTTTCAGAATAAATAGACTAGAAGAAATGTTAAAGAGAGCGTTTTCTATCCGTTCGCGTTTTAGAAAGTAGATCAAAGCAGTCAGGTGTGCGAAGCAGTGGGGGAACAAGACTGTTTTAATTTCCTCAGTATTCTATGGAATAAAATACTGAGATTGTCTGACCCAAATAGTTTTTGTTTGGGGTGTATTAGGAGGTGCAAGACTCTTCATATTCTTGGTGGGAGATTCAGAGTCTCTGGCATGTACTTATTAAAGAAATATACCCAATGTCGTCAAATATTTTTGCCAAATTTCTTTTCGGTTCTGTAAATAAACTTTTGTTTACCAAAGAGTATTTTTTTTTTTAATTTAAAAAATTTGGTGCTTTGTAGTGGAGAAAGTAATTTCAATCTTTGATGACTTGTTTCTTGTCAATACACTCGAAGTCTTCCTGCTACTGGTTGTGTTGTTTGAATTGAAATAATGAAAATTACTTTTGTGTAGTGACATTGATTTATTTTAAATATGTTGTCTGTAGTATAGAGCAAGTTGTTTTTTATTGGAAGTGGTTTCTAACAATTTTTTGCATATTTGCTTTGGAATATATATGTTCATTTTGAGTAACTCTTGTAGTATCTAGCAATCTATTCGTGTTCTTTTTGTTGCTGCTGTTGTTTTTGTTGTGATGGTGAGAATTGTTGCTGGTGCAGGCTCTTGGAACACCTGAGAACAGTGAACTTTGGAAATGGCTTTCTGTAACAAAGTCGGGAGCCTCTTGAGGCATAGCATTTCCCAGAATGGACAAGCACCCATGGCATCTATGCTTAATGCTGCGCGCTGCATGTCCTCCAAGCTTTTTATTGGAGGTATATTATTGGACAATCTGTGTCTAAGATGACTAATTAGAGATCCTGTAGATTTATATTTGACATTTTGTTTCTAAATTGTGGTTTGTTAGGCCTTTCATTTGGAACTAGTGACGAGTCTCTTAAAGAAGCATTCTCTAGCTTTGGTGATGTGACTGAGGGTAAGTTTTAAATGTGGTGTTTTTTTATTGTAGGCTTGCTGAAAAGCTTAACTTCTTGTCATAAAGTACATATACCTTGCAATTTCTTCATCGTATCAAAACTTTGTTTAGGCAGAGCATTACACTTGCATACTGCATCATGTGCTATATAATATACTTCACAGTATGGAGTTAGGCGAAATGGAAATTTGGTAACCAAGACCAAAAATCTTGGTTTTCAATTGTTGCTATTATTACTGCTTCTGCTCAGCCTTTAATTAGGCATCTGTTAATGATCTCCATCTGATGCTTTCTCTGTATCTAGGGAACAGCCTCAAATTCTCAAATGGTTTTAAACTTTGGGTTTACTTGAAAAGTATTGAGTAATGTATTTATTTTGTAAGTTTTTGTAGTTCAATAACTTTGTCACCTTGTATCTTTCTGCTATTTGGGTTGTCTCTAGCCTCTTAATCTAGTTTTTTTCTATTGCATCTCTGTAGGAGAAATCTATTGGGATCCTTGGGTCCACTTCTTTTTCTAGTTGTCTTTATTTTCTTTTGCATGCAGGATCTTGTGTTTGTTTCAGAAAAAACTAAAAAGAGTTGGAGTTTTCTGCTTCTTTTTTTACTTCACAGTGACATTGAGCAATTTGAACTGGCATTCCAATGTGGAATAAAATAACTTATTGCATCAAGATGCTGATATTGCCTTATGTATTTACTTTCTCCTTCCTCAGTAATGTTATTATCATAAGAAATTTCCTTGGGAGTTTGTAAGCTTAATGAGATGATGTCTGTAGGGTTTGTTGTTGGTCCGTTTTCTATGTACTGGTATTAACAGTTGATTTTTTGTGTGCAGCAAGGGTTATTATGGATAGGAATACTGGAAAGTCTAGGGGGTTTGGATTTGTTGACTTTGCCAGTGATGAATCTGCTAGTTCAGCACTTAATGCCATGGATGGTCAGGTCAGAATTTGAATTCTATTTTTGAGGGGTTATGGAATTGCCTAAATTTGAATTATCCAGAATTCAAGGTCCCACATGGTGGAAGTTATATTCAAAACTTGTTTAAAGTCTTTAAGCACTGCAGTTGTGAGTGATAGCTCCCCTCTGAGAGCTGTTAATCTTGTCTTATAATGATCTTGTGACTGGACATAATGAATTTCAGGAGTTGCATGGGCGAAACATTCGCGTCAGCATTGCCACTGAGAGAACTGGTCCTCGACCATATAATGGTGGTGGTGGCGGCGGTTACCGCGGGGATGGTGGTTTCAGTGGACCGAGTGGCTATTAAGCGGGTGTTTGGTAGAAAAGAAAGTGGCCTTTAAGCTGTTGCCACAAGTGCTGTCTATAGACTTTTCTATCGTGATTTCTCTAGAATTGGGTCTGTTTTTGTTACTTGGATTTATTAGATTAATTCTGGCATTGTAGATGTGCTGGTTATATCTAGCTATGCAAGTCAGTTGCAGAAGTTTGGCAGTAAAGCTTTTCATTTGCATGTTATCTAGCATCATTGCTGAATGATTGTGAATGATTTTAGTAATGCTTCTACTGAGTCACTCGCGTTCCAACTAACCATGCTTGGATTTGTTTGATGTTTAGACGCTTTGTCAACCGTTGGAGTGTTCTGGGTTTCCATCTGCCGACTGTTTCTTCATCATAAATTGTGGTGTTTGCGATCAAATATATTGTGATTTATCGAGTTAGGGGCTTTGATCTCCCCAAATGAGTAGGGATGAGGTTTTCCCATGATCTTCAGCTATGAGTATATGACCGTAACCATGCATGAACTATGGCTTGGAGACCTCGATTATCTAAATTCCGTTTCTGTTGGATCACTTTGAGGATAATGAGGGTTGGTGGCAAAGATTAGAATGCTCCAACCCATCATCTAACATATCTCTCCGTCTAGGTTTCCTTCACACATCGTAATGTTCAAGACTGGGCCGTCCAATTTAGAAACGTATAAAGCTGGCTATGTTTCGTAAAATTAGCACATCAGCACATAACAAATCCAAATTTGACAAGCTCTTTCTTAGAGCAGGCTCCTGTGAAATAAGCATTTGATTTCACAGGAGAGCCATGCGCAATTCGATCACATGTTTTGAAGTCTGATGAACTATAAACTGAGCGTGGCTAAGAGGACTTTGAAATTGGATCTTACATTTAAGAAAAATTGTTAATTTTTCTTTTTTATTTGTATGCTTGGCTGGGAGTTTGTTTTCTTGTATATTGGGCCTCTCTTGTTCCTATTGGGCCCTTGGCTTTCTTTTGGAAAATGAATTTTATGTTTGGATGAGCCTAATGTGGAAATTGTGGAATTCTCAAAACATGTTTACTAATCTTTTTTCATTTTTTATATTTTTTATATTTATTTATTTTTAGGGAAACATATTTACTTATCTAGAACAGGAGAAGTAATGAAGTGAACAACTCTCCCTAATCAATCTGATATTTGATTTTTTCAGATATTGGATTACGGATTTCAGTGTGCAACTTACATAATTTTTAATTCCTTACATGTTTATTAACATATGAGAAACCGAAAATTAGAATAATTTCAATGCCTGTGCTTTAGTTATGAATAAAAATAATTCGAAATACTCATTCAAAACAACCCAATTCTACCACAAATTTCCCTTACAAATAGATTTTCAGTTGACGAAAAAAAAAAGTAAAAAACAAAATCCACTAATAAAAAAGTACTTTTACGAGATAAAATAACCATGTTTTTCTCATTTTTACCATAAGATAATTAGTAAGATTTGCACGGCCGCAGCCCCACCACAAATGTTGAGCCTACCAAAGCCTTCCTCTTTGTCCAGAATTTTGGCCCTTGTAAAACTTTGATAAAAGAACCTGGCCTTTTTCAAGCTTGAATTCCAAATGCAGAAAGACATTTGTTGATGCAGCTTAGAGGGTAATTTTGTTTTGTTAAATAATACACGTCCAAATAAACCGAAGAGAAGAGACTATTTTGTCTTCTTTAGTGTCGGTGAATATTAATTTCGGAAATTGGTCAAATAATAAGACACTGCTTACAAAAGGTCAAGAAAAAGCCATTTTGCTGATGTGGGGTCTGTCCATATGCAATTCGTGGGTGTGTGAACGATGAACATGGTGGTTGGTTGCTGGGTCATTATCTCACAAAATTATGCAGTTATTTCCATGGAAACAAACAAAGCTCCTTTCTCTTTCCTCTTTGTTTTTTTTTGTTTGCCTTTTTATGTTATTACATGCTAATCTGTGCATGATTTTGTCCAAACATAATGACACATCCCATGTTAATTCACTTTGCTCTAATGCAGCTGGCATTCATTTTGTTTTATGAGACGTTTGAAGATAATTAATTGGTGGTTTGTATTTTGTTTGATGATAATGGTTTTACTTAGGACAAGTCTCTTGTTAGGCTATAAACTGTGAATAGCATACATCACACGTAATAACTAACTTAATAAGTCACTTCTAGCCTTGGAGGGTACACCTCCTTCTTCGCCCATTGCGGTGTTTAGTGATGATCGTTATCATACAAATGTCATAATCAGAATACTTCATTTCATAAATCATCATTTAAAGATCATCTTTGCATACAATCGATCTAATTGGAGATTGTTTAGACATCCATATGTATCAAACAATTCGACGGTTATGATAGCAATTAAGATCCTCATGATGGACTATCCATTTAATTTATACATATGGATGACCAGACGATCTTTGCATAGCATATTCTACACTCAAAATACGCTACCTTGTCATAAAATTGATTAAAAGTAACAACAAAAAATCATGAAAGCTCATTGGGCGACTACCCCCCAACTGCTGGTGCCTTGCCTGGTCATCACACACTGTGTGTGATGCAACATAACCACTGGCGGACCTACACATGAGCAAGGAGGTGCAGCTACATCTCCCCTTGCCGGAAAATCCTTTGGAGTGGTTGGAATTTTCCCCTCTGCTAGTGCTCACTATGTGTTCGATTACATGTCTGAAAGAGACTTTATAATATTCAATTTGATTTTTGCTTCACATAAACTTGTTGTCTCCCAAAATTCCCTTAATGGTGTATCTCTATTTAATAAATATCCATGAACTTTAATCCCCCTTATTTGGCATATGTCCTTTCTTAGTTTCTTAACTTATAATCTATTTTTTATATATATGCAATTTCACGTTTATTTATTCAAAGTTTCTCTCATCCCTGTCGACTAATGTAGATGGGTTCATAGACTCATTGCCCCTCACCTGAAAAATTTTTGAGTCTGCTAGTAAACATAACAATGGAAGACAATCAAACGATAGCTTTATAACAAGAAAACTTGGAGAACCCAAAAAGTTGAGAGAAACCTCAAACTTTTTTATATTATAAAAATAAGGGTAACAACCATAATATCTTAAAGTTGATATTAATACTGCCTCAAACCCTAGAATCACTAAGAATACTAATTGCCCTTGAAACTTAAAACATTAATTTAACCTAGCAAACTTTGTTATTTGGCATAAATTCATGTGTCATGGCAAAGTGGTAAGTTTGACTCCTCTCTTCGTTTTCTTCAAAATGGCTAGTTATGGACCCCAAATAAAAGCTTGAGGCCCAAACTTGCAGGGGATGGATTTTGTTATTTCTCCTCATACGTCTATTAAGTTGCTCCTCAATCATCTTTGCCAACTGTGCACACACATACACACACATGTATATGTGAATGACAAAAAGAAAAGAAGAAATATATACGAAATAATTATTTGCATATGGTTATTCTAAATTTATTTAAGATATATATTGTATCTAATTTTTTCAAATGCTAGAAATGTCACTTGAACTTATACATCAGTTTCAACTTGTTAGCTTAAGAAAAAATTTAAGAGAAATATCACCTTAATATTTTAAAATCCATAATTTGTCATTTGAATTTAACACCATCCAATTTTTCATCCATTTTTAAAGGTATTTTAGTCTTTCCATTTTTAAGGGTATTTAAAAATGAAAATATCATTATATAAAAAAATCTATATCTTTTAAACAATTAAAATTGAAGAAAAAAAAATATTTCTCACATTCCCCCATCCCTTGTTCGCCATTGACGGCTACAACCAACCCTACCCACCTTGAAATCCATCTCTCATTCCCTTTTCACAGCCCTTTCCTCCATTCCCCCGTCCCTCTTCCACTTCCTCCTTCTCTCTTTAATTACGATGGAACACCTACCCTCCACACACAAATTCCCTCAACCCACCCAAACCTAGTCCACCTTTTTCTTCTTCATTTTTCAGTTTGGTATTTTTTTCATTTGCATATTGAAAATTTGTGGAAAGACAACTACCAAACCAACAACTCGATAGCTTATGCAAAAGATGGATGACCAAGCAAACTTTAGATCCTTCAACACAAACATAGTGGCGTAAGTTAATGAAAATATGAAGACAAGAAATGGGTCGGATTTTGGGTGGGAAGCTTAAGTAGTTTTAAATTAGGTATTTGAAAATTTCAGACATGCTCAATGGGTCGGATTTTGGGAGGGGGTCCTTTGTGATGTGTTTTTTAGGGCAGATGGGGGAGAAAGGGAGAGATATGTCTCTTTTTTCTCTCCTTTTTTTCCTTGAAAATGAAAAGACTAAAATACCATTTAAAATGGATGGAAAATTGGATGTGTTTAAAGTTAGATGACAAATCATGGATTTTGAAAAATTAAGATGAATTTCTCTTAAATTTTTCTTGAAGGTGACAAATTGAAACAGAGATATAAGTTCAAGTGACATATCTATAATAATCCCTATATAAAGTCTTAGATTTCATGTATTTTCCTTAACCATTCTATCCAAACGGACGTTATGCAAGTGCACTTGCAGTTGTAAGAAACATAAATTTTACTAACTTTTTATGGCGATGTAATATTGAATTTCCATGGAGTCCATAGACACTTTGTGTGAATTTTGACCCGATGCAATATGTAAATGCATTGACATCTATCTTCAGCAGGAAAAGTGTTCAATGGCAGGCATCGAAAATGTTTAGGCATCTGAAACATATTCTGACTTTGAAATGAAGCATACTAGTAAAGGCATTATAGGTAAGAAAGCATAAACCAAAAACAAGCTAGCTCACGATCATGATATGCCCGCACTATTCTAACTTAATCATGCTTTTATTAGTAATTTTAATGAAATATTGCTTAGAATGGAAGTTTAGAAAAAATAAAAAATTTCCATTCCATTCTATTCAAAGAAGTTAAAGTGCCAAAATTAGGTAGAAAAGCAGTGAGAACAAACCTTTCTTTTAAATGGAAGTTCTTTTAACACTGAAAATAATTGAAAGACTTCTTATTGGTTCAGTCTCCCTGTTTTTTTTAATCAACAAACTTGACTAATTCAAGCTCTCTTATTGGTCATTTAAATCCAAAACCCTAATTACCAAATCATTAAGGCAATGCTTTACTGGGGAGGTCATGTCAACATGTTTGTTATAGCTCATCCTCTCATCAATGGAAATTCCTCCTCCAGCAGCCGCAGCAGCACCATTCATGACACTCTTGAAAATGATGGAAATCCTTGCACCAATATATATTTTTTAATTTGAAAGTTCTGTGCTTTCTTTTCTTCCTCAAACAAATCATTGCAATGGCTTTGGACAAAAAAATAATGAAGGGAAGGAGGAAAAGATGGTGGTTGTGTTGACATTAAGCTCAACAGCCAAGGATGTACGTACCCTTCAAATGAAATGAAATATTTTATGCCACCGACCATTTCTTCAACCTTTATTTATTTAGTTTGGAATTTCAACTTCAACTTTTCATTAAATCAAATTCAGATCAGAATATATTAAACATTAGACTTCATATATATATATATATATATATATATAGACAAAAAAACATAAGACTTCTTGGGCATATATTAGTTGAAAAATTAGAGTTTATTTAGAATGAGAAAAAATGAGCATAAATTAAGGATGATACGAACTTGGAGATATTATTATTATTCACATATGGCATGGTTCCATGGATTCCTGCACAACTTGCGGGCTTAAAATCGGAGTGGATCACACAATTTTGGCCTTTTAAATAATATTTGTGTTTTAGGAAATGCATCAATTATTTAATAAAATAGTCTTTGTCAACCTTTCAAAAAATATACATTTTATTTCGCAGTTTTACCAATTTTACCCTTATTAAGGAAAAAGAGAAACAAACATAATGGGAGTAAACAATTTTACCATGTTTGCATTTGTGAGGTTTTCTAATTTCTCCCTTATGGGTTTTTTTTTTCTTTTTCACTTCCTCCCGTAGGTTATGGTTAGTTACAAGCCCTTGGAAAGATACGGTAGGCAAAAGAAAACTATATAGGACAAGTATGTAGCACGGAAGAGATACGGTAAGCAAAAGAAAACAAACTTATTGAGTTTGTTTTAATCACGAAAGAGAGAAGATTCAAACTTCGAACATTTTTCAAAATTGACTATATACGATGTCATTCATGTTTTTTTGCAATTACGTTTTTACTTGTAGCATAATCTCAATAAAAGTTAAATTTGACAAAATTGTTAGGGTAACGAAGGTAACAAAATTTAACATCAACATCCTTAGGTGAATGCATAAGGATTGTAGGATATCTATCCTACTTTTGGGAAAAATAAATAAATAAATAATCGTTTGTACAAGATTAAACTCTAGAGTGAGGAGTTAATGCAGCACACTCTAAGCGGTGAAAGGTATTTTTGAAATAATACGTTACATTTCCACAGCTTTTTTTTTTGTATTTTAATTTTCTTTGGTCGGATCACATCTGCTTTTTTTTATTTATTATTTAATATAAGTGATAGTTTAAACTAGAAGGAGATGATGGTTTCTTACATACACTGACAAAGAGCCATAGGGGTTCGAACTTAAGACCATTGACCTGCGGAAATCAAGATCGTTTTCCATTGAGCTAGACTTTGTTAGTAGAGCTGCTTTATTCTATAACCCCATTTTCATATTGTTACGAGAGGCGGTGGCAGCAGGTTTGGAGGCGAGGGTTACTAAGATGATGGTGGAGACGGACTCTAAACAGCTTGTTGCGATGTTACATGGTAACATGAAGACGGATACTGCTATTGATGGCATTATTCATGATATTAAGTTACTGGCTTGTCAGGTGGGTCAGATTTCTTTTACTTTTGTGAACCGTAGGTGCAATGCAGCTGCTCATTTGGTAGCAGCGCATGTATCTCGTGTGGGTGGGGAATTCAAATGGGATCAACTTTGGCCTGAGTGGTTGTTTGACACTCTTGCTGCTGATGTAAACATTACAATTCGACTTTAATAAATCCCTTCCATCGTTTGACAAAAAAACAAAAAATATATATACATATATATATATATATATATATATAACCCCATTTTCATAGAATATCAAATTATGTCGCTATTCAAATTTGGGGATGATAGTCGTCATTTTGATATTCTAATATAATTAAGTTCCACTAAATGTGGGAGGGAAAAGAACAGATTAGCCTTCAAAATGGAAAATCAAAATAAGGTATAATTGACTAGTTATCAAATATATATTATATATATAGATATAATGTGGTTTAGAATATTCAAGATTATTGGATCATCTTATTCATAGGATCCATATACTAATGCTTCGGAATCTAAAATTCTCTTGACTGCAAAAGTCAAATTAATTAATTTATAATTAAGATTTGGCATCGCAAATCTTGAGAGGTTCTAAGCTGGTTCCATTTATTAGATGGTTAATTAAAAGTCATCCTAATTATCAAATAGGTTGTGTGTCGTGGACTTATCGCCTTGGATCACTCACAGGTCCATTTATGCGGTTCCCGTTTACTTGGTCATCCTTCTTTGCCCTAGCCTACAATTCATCTCATGCCTCCAATTGGAAATCTTGAAATATGGATGTAATTAGGAGTGTCCCAAGCTTCAAACGCTAGGCAAATGTCAAAGGTAATTGAAATTTATTTAAGTGCCGATTTGGGGCCTTACCACTCATTGACTCATGTTATTATTGTAAAGAAGAAGATGATACAAGTAGAGGCTCTAAGATTTGGGGCTTACCACTTATTGACTCATGTTATTATTGTAAAGAAGAAGATGATACAAGTAGAGGTTCTAACATTTGGGGGCTTATCACTCATTGACTCATGTTACGAATGCGTATACAGTTTAATGAATTGTGATTACTAATGTGAACGCGTCAATCTAACGAATTACAATCGTAATACGAATACAGTTATAGTCATTAGATCGACATACTCACAGTTGTAGTTGTTAAATTCGTGATCTATCGATTAAAACCTTAATACAAACATAATTATTATCGTTAAATCAACACTTTCACGATTGTATAGTGATTTGAATGCCGATACTGTAAACCCTAGAAAAATCCGAAAAGACAAAACAAAAGAGGGAACAAAAAAGTACTGCGGTAGTACACGGTCAAATGACAAGCGGGCCTTATGTGCAGGAAAAGCTGTTTGTTTGCACTGACATCAAAAGTTAATTATTTTTTTTTTTTTTTTTTTTTTTTTTTTTTTTCTGCAATCATATGCATGACTCTAACGTTAAAATGGACAATATAATTGACTATCATCTCTAGATAATATTGCTCAGCAGTCCAAAAGAGGACTTGCAAATTAGTTTTTAACCCCAAAACTTTCTCCGGAAGCCATAACAACTATATATTCTGTATCAAAAGCAAAAAGAAAAAGATAAATACTTTACAGGTCGGTTATTCAAATCAACTCAATTATTGTGTGCTGCCTTGTGGGGGGGGTGAGCGATTGTGGTGAGGGGGGAATCAAAAAAGTAATAAAATTAAAAAAAAAAAAAAAAAAAAAAAAAAAAAAAACTAGCTATATGATGGTATGCATTGAGGGTTCATTTCCAGTAACTTCTTATGCCAAAAATAGACAAATTTGATAATCAAAATAAAGTAGCTATGTAGGCCAACTAAATTGAGATAAGCATATAACTTGTGTGGCTGAGTTTTCTTTTATTTTGAGCCCTCACCGACACTTTTCTTCTATAGACATGCACTTCTAAAATTTCGTTTAATTTTTGAACTTAGGAATCTAATGTGAATTTCCTTTGTAAAATTTAATTTTACTTCAAATAAAAAAAAAGTTTAATTTTTTTTCGACATTAAAAAAAAAAAAGCAGTCTTAATTTCTTTTTTTAAAAGCCTTTTGTAGTAGTTATGCACCTTTCACAAATTGATTTCAGAAGTCCCAAAATCCCTTTTGGTAATTAGAAATCTTTACTTTCCCACTTGTTTCTTCTTTTTTACACATGAAATCATGGCCCAAATTCACTCTTAAAACAACTATTGTAGCTCTTTCATTATTGATGATCATCAAAGCATATATCTTCAATCTTGAAAAGCAATAACTAATCAAGATTTCTTCCACTTGCAACCCAATAAAGCAAAACCCAATTATTTGTGATGACCCAAGAAAGAAATATATAGTAAGTAATAAACAAATAACAAGGAAGCAAAGGCAAAGAAGATTCTTGATGTCATTGTTTGTTGTTACAATCACAAATTTCTTTATACCAATCCAACGGCTGAGATCTACATCCTTTCTAGTAGACCCCACCATAAATTATTACAACCTCCCCTTCCTCCCCCCATGTTTTCCAGATCTACACCACCTTCTCTCTGCTTCCCCATTTCCCTCTGTTTCTCTTTCCTAACATTTATCTTCTTCTTCTATATGACATTTTCTTTTTTATATATCTATATGATACATCAAGAACAGCTTGGATCCAGTACATCAAGGACCACACAACAATAACTTACAAGAACCAAAAAAAAACAGAATTTAATTCAACAAAAAATTTAAGAAGAGGAAGAGAGAAAGAAAGGCCATGTGATCAGTGATGATGATGATTGACGGTGATGATTTAATCAACCGGATTCTTCGGTTTGCTGACTGCTTTTCTTGTTAATATCCATTTCCCTTTTTACCCTCGTCTCAATCCCGTAATAACTCACGTACCACTTGACGAACTTTCTCAACCCGGAGGCCAAATCCGTGGTGGGCTTGTACCCGAAGTCCTTGTAAGCCAGGCTCACATTGGCGTGAGTGTAGGGAACGTCCCCATTTCTAGGCATCTTGATCACGTGCTTCTTAGCTTTTGTACCCAAAAGGCCCTCCAAAATTGAAACCAATTTCCCCACGGGCACTGGAGACGTGTTGCCCAAATTGTAAATTCTCAGCTGGGCAGGCCCTTTCTTTTTGCCCCCGCTGCCCGTGCTTTTTTCCGCTGTGTCCAGTGCCCCTAGGCACCCCTTTACGACGTCGTCTATGTAAGTGAAATCACGTGCCACTTCCTTGTCGTCCACTGTTTTGTACACGTCGATTGGCTTGCCTTGCAGTATGTCCTTGGTGAAAAAGAAGTAGGCCATGTCGGGTCGGCCCCATGGACCGTATACGGTGAAGAACCGCAACCCGGTTAGGGCGAGGCCGTAAATATGGTTGTAAGTGTGGGCAATTTCCTCACCGGCTTTTTTTGTCGCGGCGTACAGGCTGGCCGGTTGGTCTGTTCTGTGGAGCTCCGAAAATGGATTTTCTGTGTTGAGTCCGTAAACCGAGCTGGACGACGCCCAGACAATCGACGGCTGAGGATTTGCTCTCTTCGCAACTTCCAGAAGGTTTACGAATCCGGCAATGTTGGAGCTCACGTAAGACTGCGGGTTCTGCATAGCGTACCGTACGCCCGCTTGCGCGGCCAAGTGTAGGATGTGAGTGAAAGGGACGACATCAAAGAGCTTCGTCAGCAGCGGCTCGTCGTTTAGGTCCCCCTCCACGACGAAAACCTCGTGCCTCTTCAGCAGGGCCTGCCGGGCCCGCTTCAACGACGGGTCGTAGTAGGAGTTGAAGTTGTCGAGGCCCAGAACTCCGTCTCCCCGCTTCTTCAGGGCGAGAGAGCAGTGGGTCCCGACAAACCCGGCAGCACCTGTTACCAGAACAGACATACCGTTGGGGCGCTTGGGAGTGGACGAATGACGCACCTGCTTCTCCCAGGCGGTCCCGCCCACTCCTCCGCCGTAAAAAGCAGAGGAGAGGAAATTATGGGTGGTGTGGACGTGGTGGGCCCCACCGCCCATATGTTCTGAGAGGGGAGGGTAATTGATGGTGAAGAAGAAGATGAGGACGAGGGCGACGAGGAGGGTGGCTCGGAAGAGGAGCTTGGAGGAGGCATTGAGGAGCTTGGTGCTGTTGACTCTGCGGAGGTAGGTGTTGTAGCGCTCCAGCTTTATGGTCTTGCTTGTATCTGGAGGAGACGCCATTGCCGCAAATATTCCAATATATCAAATCAAAAGTATACCAAATATACCAATTTTCTGTGTTATAAAAACACAAGGGCTTCTTGGGTTTGAGAGAGCAGACAGATAAAAAGACAAAGGGACTCAGAGCTTGAACTTCGAATGAGCCCTGAATCTGTGAAGAGTGTGGAAAGATTAATATAAAGATGAGAGAGAGGAAGAGAGAGAGAGAGAGGGGTTGGTGTTGGTTGGAGACCACTTTCTTTATCTTTTCTTAATTACTCGTTTACAGATAGAAAGCGAGAGCTGCAGAATTAGACAACGAGACGAGATGGTCCCTCGTTATTACAATTATTACGTAAACGCCACTTGATTACGGAAATTGAAAAATTGAAAATGCCAGCTATCTTTATTTGTACGAAAAAAACCCCAGACCATGTGATCCACGCGCTTCCAGGTTTGAACGCTCTGATCTGATATGTCTCTGTGAGATGAGTGTAGTGTTTCAAAGTAGGGAAATCAAATTAATTAAGCCAGAATTTAATTATGTTTGAACAAATAATTAAATTAAATTAATTTGGAATTAGTGGGAAAATACCTCCTCCTTCACTTCACCCCTTGTTAATTAATTTGTTTCGAGATCAAGGAAGGAGTGCTAATTATGGAAAGAGTATTATTAGAATAATCACGTGGATGTGTCTCCATTATTAAATAATTTAATTTCTTTGATAAGGTCAATGGGATCAAAGTAATTCTATGGTTTATATCCCAGTTTTCCCAATCCATGTCTCAGCCAAAGGAGAAAGAAATCAAATAAGAAAAAGGCTGATTGTGACGTTTGTTACTCGTAAAATTATTATGAGCGAAACATTATATACACTCGTTTCGTGTTAATAATCTTTGACGGTGATCTTATTTTAACAGTAAAACTATTTTCAGGAATTAACGTTGGATTTTTGTGTGCTGTAATATTCAGTATTTACCATGGAAGTCAAAGCCAACAAGAGATGACAAAAGATAGGGGAAACGAGTCCTAGTCGGTGGTCTCAATTATAATCGAGTCATGGCTTTTTCTATTGGTGAGCTGGAATCAAGTCTGTATTCAATTTACAAAGGATATGCGACACTTCCCCAGCATCTTCGCTTATACATTTTCCTCCATGTAGGATAGGACTGATGGGAAGAGAAGAAACCAATGGCATGGAAATTAATCCATGAAATGAAAGTGATAAAAAAATCCAAAAAAATACTGAGCGGGGATTTTAATATTTATTGTTGTCAAAATTATGGGAGAGTGATATGGAAATGAGTTTGGGCCAATTCCCTAATTTCTTTTTTTTTTTTTTTTTTTTTTTTTTTTTTTTTTTATAAATAAATAAATATTTTTTTTTTATATAAAAAGTACCGTTTAAGGAATCTTAGTCTCATGATCAAATTGCAGGACCATTGATTACTCATGTGATCTCAAGATTAAGATGTCTCAATCATGAATTCAGTACTCATTTCAAATGTAATCTCTGACTTTAATCTTATTTTCTAATAGCTATCATGTCGGGAGATAAGTAATTGTTATGTGGATCTTTAGTTTTTGCCTATTTAAATTTTCTTCTTTTTGTAATGAAAGACAAAATTTTATTTTATTTTATTTTGATAAACCATAAAGTTTCATCCACAAAGGGCCAAATACAAGAACACCAAATCAAATTGACCTTTCTTGTGATGTGATTACACGGTTGTTTTAAGATGGCTCATATGGTGAAAAAATTGTATTCTTGGGAGTCGTTTGCTACATAGGACTGTCTTGACATGAACTATACTTAGAGATTGTTTTGACTTGGCTTGGCTTAGTCTAAATTGGATAATACTTATTTTGCGTTTGGTGTATGCTTGGACTAGGACTAGATTTTTTTATTTTTCAAAGTATATATATACATATATATGTATACTACATATATTATATATTATATATTTGTGTATATACCGATATATATACCTGTATATTATAATATAATATATATATTGGTATATTATAATAATAATATACATGTATATACATATATATGATATATTATATAATATGTGGGTATATACATGTACATGTGTATATATGTATATAATAATAATAATATACATGTATATACATATGTAATATACATGTATATACGTGTATTATAATATATGTGTATATATTATTATAATAATAATATATGTTATTATTATTACAATATAATATATGGATGTTATACATTGGTGAGTATAGGACTAGTTAATCCTTCCCTTTAGTCCCCTTTGAAGGAGGTGTTTTTGGTGGGCCCGGTATTAGCAATCTCATTTAAGACTAGGATTAGATGAAACAAACATGAGACTAAATTTAGTCCAAGCCAGTCCAAGCCAATCATGTGTAACAAACGACCCCTTGTGGTCTAGACTGTTACCGATCTCGATCATTTTGTCCAAGTTTCGTTAAAAATTTGCATGCGAGACTCAAGTGTATGGGTGGGAGGAAAGATATTGGGGTTCAAATGGGACAATGGCAGAAGGGTAGATCATGGTTGGATACAAGTAGGGGTGCGAATAATTTTGGGTCAATTCAACTATATTTTCTGACCCAATCACAAATGGGTGGGTTTGGGTTGATCTAATAATGAGCGGGTCTTGGATACAAGAAATCATAAACCGATATGTTTGGGTTGGGACCAAAACCTAGAGGTTGGCATAATTTCGAGTCAAACGACTGAACTGCTCAACCTGATCATAAGAGGGTTGGGTTTAGTTGAAGAATATGAGTCCCACATCGGAAACTTTACTAAATAAAATACAAATATAATGAATGGTTACACTACTAATATAACCAATGCATTTCGTAATAAAACCTCACATTTACTAGGGTTTGTAGGTGGTTAAGTTTGGGACAATATTGGTGTTGTTAGTAATGGGTTGTTGGCTCGTTTATCTGAATTTAACATTAGGCCTCGTTAATGGGCCGGGCCATGCTTTAGAGAGGAGAGAGAAAATAATGGGCCGGGCCCCTTTTTTTTTGGAAAATTCAAAGCCCATAGGCCGGGTTTTAAAAAGCCCATTGAGCCGAGCCGGACCTAAATGGGCCTACTTTATTGTCTTTTCTTTAATATGTATTTTTTTTTGTCAATTATTTATTATTTTTTTCTATGTTTTGGTGTGTTTCTATGTTTCCTCTTTTTTTCATAGTTCTCTATTTACATTTGTGTATATGTTTATGTTACCATTTTTTTCTTTGTTCATAACTTCATAGTTCTCTCTTTTTTTTTTCCCCCATAAATATAAACATATAATTATACAACCCCATATTAATAAAATTATATTTTATCCCATACTTCATTTTTTTAGTTTTTACAATGATAATAGATAATGATTTTCTCCATATTTCATTTAACTTGGGTTTATATATATATATATATATATATATGTGAGCCCGTGGGCCGGGCTTTTATGGGTGGGTTGAGCCTGGTTGGACTTTCATGGGCTCAAACTGGCTGAGTCGGGCTTTAGACACCCAAGCTTAAGCCCGGCCCACTGAACAATGGGCCGGGCTTGCCCCATCGGCCCATGGCCTCACAGGCCTAATGATGACCCATATTTAACATGGTATCAAAGCGAGTTGATTGACTAGGCCTGAATTTGGCCTTTATCCTTACTCAATATGTGGTGTTCACATGTTAAACTTGAATATTTATCCCTACCCCTTACCCAATAACTGGTGTTCACGTGTTGGGCTTAAATAATTGACTTTGATGTGGACTTGGCTCCACGTGTGACCCACTATATGGTGGTTCCACATGAGGGGGCGTGTTGAAGAATGTAAGTCCCACATCGGAAACTTGACTAAATAAAATAAAATATATAATGAATTGTTCCACTACTAATATTACTGAGACCTTTTGTGATAAAACTCCACATCCACTGAGCTTTGTAGGTGGTTAAGTTGGGGACAATATCAGTGTTGTTAATAGTGGGCCAATGACCTGTCAATTTAACATGATATCAGAGCGGGTTTATTGTCTAAGCCTGAATTACTGGGCCTTTACCATTATCCCTTACTCAACATGTGGTGTTCACATGTTGGGCTTGAATGTTTTACCCTTACTCCTTACCCAATACATGGAGTTCACGTGTTAGGCTTGAAAGTTCGCCACACGTGTGGGGACGTGTTGAGAGTGTTTGTCCCACATTAAAATGTTAAGGGACTTAGCTTGGGTTTATAAGGATTTGGGGTACTCCCTGCATTGCCAATTGGTTTTGGGATGGAACCTCCACTTCCTTCAAGTTTGCCTAATAATAAGCGGGTATTAGACCCAAAAAATCATAAACTGCCATGTATAAGTTTGATTACAAATAGGAACAAAACCGACCTAACCCAACCCGTGCCACCTCAGATGCAAAACTGGGGTTGGCGGTTGGGTGTAATGGATGGCAGGTTAATATATGGTTGGCAGCTAATGATGTCCTTTGTTGTATCCCAAAAAATGATTTTGCCTATGCAACAGAATATCTTGCATTGGTTAATATACACAAACTCTATGACCTTGACTAAATTGAAAACACAATGATTGAGTCGGTGAAAAAGATAAAATAAGGGCTAAAAGAGGTAGGTATTTAACCTTCCATCGCCAACAAGTTACTTACAAACCCTAACTTTGCAAATTATCTTCTTTTTTATTTTCTAAAAAATCTTATTAGCTTAGGGCCGGTTTGAGATTGTTTCGGTAAGATTTCTCCTCATGAGCATTTTTATTAAATGGACATCAAAATTCTTATTAAAAATTCAATTGCTCATTGGAAAAGCAATTAGAAGTGATTCCTAAAGAAGCATCAAGAAGGTGCTTCCTGAAGAATGACCTAACATGTGTTTTGCAAAACTAATTTAAGTGTTTAGTCATTCTGAAAATAATTTGGTGTGGGATATTGCTTGCTTCCTTTTTCTAGAAGGAGATATTCCTCTTTCCTGCAAGTCATGGTTTGACACATGTGCAAAAATACTTCATAAA